CCCCGCTCGGCACGGCCCCGACGCCGGCGGCGCTTCCCGCGCAACTCACCGCCGCAGGTGCGGAGCCGCCGTCCCGGCGCGGCGGGCCCAGGTGCCGAGCGCGGAGCGGAGCGGAGCGGAGCGGAAGGGCCGCCGCCGCCGCGCTGTCCGTCATCTCCCCTGGCCACTGGGAGGGCGGCTGGGCCGTGGGGCCGCCCCAGGGGCGGGCTCGGGGGGGCGGTGGGCCACGGGCCCGGCCCAGCCCGGCCCTGCCCACGCTGCCCTGAGGTTGAAATGCAGAAGTCAAGGCTCTCTTGTCGGGATGTAGATTTCCTTGTAGTTCTTTTCTTCCTCGCGCTACTGTTCCCTCCTCAGCGGAGATCAGAGAGGCTCGGGGCCAGTGCGGCCAGGAGCGCAGGAGGCCGGGAGTCGCTTCCCGGGCATAGGGATCCGTTGGGATTTAGGGCCGGCCTCGAGGTGTCCCGCTCAGAGGAATGGGTAAGTGGCCGGGAGCCGCAGAAGGGTTCAAGTGCTGTCAGGAGAGGGGGAGCACCCGTGCGCAGTCATCTGCCACCGCCGCGGCTCCCTTATTGACTTTGCTCGTGTTCCTACAAGTTGTAAGAACATGTTGAGGGTCAGGAGCAGGGGAGAGAGAGAGAGCTAATGACTAGTCGGCTTGTTATTAGTGTTATTAGGCGAGTGCGAGGCAGTATCGCAGCCGAGCGGATGGCTGGAGCCCGTGACACGTTGTATATTATTCCTGACACAGATCGTAGCAGTTAACATTTTAACACGCTTGTTTTACAGCCCAGTGTAATCGTGCTGTTAAGCGAAAGGCGCTAACAGCACCAGGAACGGTCTTTAAAAAGTTAGTCCCGACTCAGAAGCACCGCGCTGCCCTCGTCTTTCCCAAGATGTAAAAGAATTTCCACAACTACTTTTTCCTTCCTCCCCCTCCCCCACGTCTTAGAAGATGTTTTTCTTTTCTTTTTGTTTTCTTCGCGTTTCTTTTTCCTGTGGCAATAAAGCTGACTTGTCTGTTGGGGCGATCTCATTTTTCATCTCTGGAATGTGCTTATTTTTTGGAATATGCTTGATGCACGGTCCGGAGCGCTCGCTCGGACATTTGTTGCCACGGATTTTCTTTCTTTCTGTCTTTTATTTATTCTTTTTTTTTTTTCTTTTTTTTTTTTTTTTTAACCTCTCACTTCTCTTCCTCCCTCCCCTTTGCCTCCTTCAGTCTCGGGGGCATCCCGCTAATACAAAGAAGCGTGCGTGGAGTGGCCGGGGAGGGGGGTCCCTGTCTGTGACATCTGTCTGTGATGAGGAGCAGTTCAGACGCCCCCTTCTGTGCCGTCCGCCGTGTCCGACGGCTGTGTTTGTGCATTTGCTTGCAGAACCTGCCTTCGGGGAAGTGAACCAGCTCGGGGGGGTGTTTGTCAACGGGAGACCCCTGCCCAATGCCATCAGGCTGCGGATTGTGGAACTGGCGCAACTGGGTATCAGGCCGTGTGACATCAGCCGGCAGCTCCGCGTTTCCCACGGCTGTGTCAGCAAAATCCTGGCTCGCTACAACGAGACCGGCTCCATCCTACCGGGGGCTATCGGCGGCAGCAAGCCTCGGGTCACCACTCCCACAGTGGTAAAACATATCCGGACCTACAAACAAAGGGACCCGGGCATCTTCGCCTGGGAGATCCGGGATCGCCTGCTGGCCGATGGCGTGTGTGACAAGTACAACGTGCCGTCGGTCAGCTCCATCAGCCGCATCCTCCGCAACAAAATCGGGAACCTGTCTCAGCAGAGTCACTACGAGTCTTACAAGCAGCACCAGCCGCCCCCACAGCCTGCTCTGTCCTACAACCACATCTACCCCTACCCCAGCCCCATCGCTGCTGCAGGAGCCAAGGTGTCCACCCCTCCCGGGGTGCCGGCGATCCCCAGCACCATGGCCATGCCCAGGACGTGGCCGTCCTCTCACTCGGTGACGGACATCCTGGGGATCCGCTCCATCACAGATCAAGGTGAGAAATGTGGGGGAACCGGGGCCACAAAGGCATCCAAGCAGGGCCGGAGGGGTTCGGTCCCCTGCTTCTGGGTTCTCTCCTCTCCGAGGGTCGGAAGGTGGTTTCGTGTTTGATTCGGGAAACCCCTGGCGTTTTTCCCGGCACGGGCAGGGCACTGAGCTTACTGGAGGATGCGTCTCGGAGCGTGGGCAGAGCGAAGGGCCTGGGTGGGCTGCAGGCGAACCAGCAAGCAGGACCCATCGGCCGTCACCTCCGCCTCTCTGACCCGGGAATTGGGGATCTTCGCCGGAGGGGACGGCCCGGGCTGCGGCGGCACCAGGGCGCACTCGGTCCCAGTCCCGGTCCTGGTCCCGACCGGGGCTCGCTGCCGCACTCCAGTCACGGGCGCTGCCTTGGCGTTTACTGAGAAGTCAATTTTCTGTAGTTTTCGCAATCAGGCCAAATTTGCCTCGGCAGGAAGTTCAAATGTCATCTAATTGCTTTCATTCTGATGGTGTATTTTCCTCCGAAGCGGTGGTCTAGGAAAACCAAAGGCCCAAGATTTGCCTCTTTTATCCCTTTCACATTCTTTCGGTTCCTCCGCCTGGAAACTGCGTCGCGTCTCCCAGCCGCTCGCTAGCAAGGGACATTTTTTCCATTTCGCTCTCTGCCAGTGAGCTAACAGTGAAAGCGTTACTCAAAGTGTCACTGAAAACAACAGTCCAAAATAACCTTTGCCTACAGCGATTTCTGAGTCCCTTTCTTCTCTCAGTAGTGGAGAGGTGGGAGCTGTGATCTGTTTTCGCTGCCTTTTTAACAGCAACAATCCAGTTCTACCAGCATTTCACATGCAAAAGGATCCTTTCGGCATTGCAGGTTTAATTTCTTCTTATTTAATCAGAAAGATGATATTTTTTTCAAGCAACACATACGCATGCACAAGTATGGTTTTTTATATGTATACATGCAGAAAATGTAAGTTGTTCTTCTTCGCCCTTCACGATATAAACTTCATCCTAGTCCTCACTGACACAAACAAATGTGCTTGTTTCTGAGTCGACTTTAACAAATACACACCTGGCAATCTCTGAGGCAATCTAAAGGTAGTGTTGGCAATGAACATTAAAAAGAATGAGAGCATTACAGTCACATGAGAAATTTAGGGTTTGGGTTTATTTTGTTTTGTTATGGTTTTTATATTTTTACGGTTTTTTCCATATATACTTTTTTTTTTTTTTTTTTTTTTTTTTTTTTTTTAAGTGAGTTCCTCCTTTATTAACACCACATTGGCAGGCAGGCCTCTAACGGTGCTGCCGGGTGCCTCGGTATCTGTCTCGTCTCCCTCAGCCCCCGTAGCGACACACATCTTTCTGCAGTGTGAAATCTCCCCCCTCCCCTTCCCGTCAGAGGGCCGGGGCTGCGGAGTGGCCGATGCCGCAGATGGGGGCTGCTCGCCCTTGATTTATAGGGTAAACTGACCTTGCTGACACGGAAAGGAAGCCCCTATTCATGGGAAAGTGTGAGATCAGCAGAAAAGGGCGCTCGCCGAGGGAGCTCAATTTCTTAAGACAACTTCAGATTTGTGCCTTTCCCCAGCACGGCGAGGGGCCGAGCGAGGTGGTGTCGCAGGAAAGCCCCCTCCCACGGCGGCTCCGATGCGGCCGGGCGCGGGGCAGGGCTCCCCCTACTCCCCTGGCTCTCCGGTGCGGGAATTTGGCCGTTCGAGGAATTTGTCCGCCGGCAAAACATCTCGGTATGCCCATGCCGCGGCTGATAGGCATGTAAATAATAGGACTGTTACTTCTTTTCCTCCCGGTTTTCTTATCTTCCGCCTTTTATTTCCCTATTAAAAAAATTGTTTACTTTTATGTTTCATTTTCTTTTTCTCCCAAAAAGTGTTTGGAGCCTAGCTCATCTGCAGGCGTGTCAGGTCTGTTTGTATCACGGGGTGTCGTTTCTCCTCTGACTCACAAATACACACACGACGGTTCCCGTAAATATCCCTTAGGGGATCCTGGGGGATAAATGCCGGGAGGCAGCTCCGTCCCGCCAGTGCGGGGGCGTGGGGACGAACGAGCCAGCCACCTCTGGGCTGGGTTGCTGATCTCTGTCACAGGTTTCAGGAGGGAGCTGGCTCCCTTCTGCCCGCGAAATCACCGTCTCAAGGAGCTTCCGGGAGCTTCAGCGAGATGTGTCGGGCGAGGGACCGGTTTCCCCTTAGCTCTGCCCCACAGACTGCCTTCCATGGGGAGAGGAGCCGTCTCCATCCCGAAGCAAAGCCATCTCCATCTCCGAATGTCAGACTCTGCCTCTAACTCCCTCTCTCCCGCTCCTTTGTTTTCCAGCAGTGACTGACACTTCGCCTTACCCCAGCCCCAAGGTGGAGGAATGGAGCAGCTTGGGCCGAAACAGCTTCCACCCGCCGACCCAGCACGCCGTGAACGGGTTGGAGAAGAGCTCCCTTGAGCAGGAGGCCAAGTACAGCCAGGTAAAGAGAGAGGCGGGGGGCGGGCAGTGATGCACAGGGCTCCGGAGCTCGGCTCGGGCTACCGTCCTCGGTTTGGAACCGGTACGGGACTTTCTTCGGTTTTGGTTTGCAAAGACGGGCGGGAAAAAGCCTGGCTCTCTTCGCTCCTCTCTCCGCTTCCTCCCCCGGCCTGGCGGCCGCGGCGCCCAGCACCCCCATCCCGCTCTGCTGCCGGCGGGCGGAGAGAGGGCTGGCGGGGAGCAGCGATCGCCCCCGGGCCCGGGGCTGCCCCCGCCCCGCCCAGCCCGCCCAGCGGGCGCTCGAGACCCGCCGCCACCGACCCCCGCCCCGGCCGGGCCAGCGGGCACGTCCCGCCGCCGCCTCCGCCCATACAGCCGCGTTTGACTCTGTCCGCAGCGTGCTCTGTAGTCAGGGGAATAATTTGAAAATGAGATGTAATTGCTTCCTACATTAAGCATTTTTAAACGCTTAAGTAGATGGCGAATTTCCTACGTTTTAATTACAACACAATATAACTGTTACTTAATAAATCTCTGTCTAAATCTTTGTACTTGCTAATCAAGTCCCATGCCAGAAGAAAAGCTATAAAAGGCTCAACTGTTACTCGTTGGGAAAGCACAGGTTTTGGAAACATTTTTTCCGTGTGATGGAAACATTTCAAAATGCATCAGAGGTCTTTCAGACACACTGACTTCCCGGCCATGCGTTTGTTGTACTTAGAACCAAGTCGAAGAAAACCCACAATCTCTGTTTAGCATTTCCCGTTCAAAGACAGAGGTTTTGGATTTATTTTTTGAGTTCTGTGTCTGGTTTTAGATCCATGTAGAGGAGACTTTCGTAGCTCGTGTCTGGTGCTGAGAGTAGCTGAATCAGACTCTCACATTCAAGATGCGGAGCACAAACTGTGGGAACACTTGCAAAGAGCGGGCAGAGTGGGAAATACTGTAGATCCCGATGGTGAACAACTACCTCATTACATACATTGCCTTTTAAACAATACACCACCCTCGATGCTGTCCTATTTGTTTTGTTTTACTCTTATTCCATTATTATTATGTTCATTTCATAACACAAATAATGTGCGCTATAGTGTAGCCATTATTGTATGGTTAAAGATAGAATTAGACTTAGATTTAGCATTACTACTCCTTCTACAATTTTCTTTAAAATAAGCATTAACAGCCTTGATAAAAAATAGTAGATATAGCTTGCCACTACTCAGTAAGAGCAGCTGTACTGTGGCTTCATTGTCTTAGGTTCCAGGCTGGGCCTTCTGCACACAGTCCTGCTGAAATATTCACAGGCTCTTGTTCATAGGCTATAAACCATGGCCTCTGATGGATCTCATTTACTTCAACAGATGTCTTGAGAAACAGTGTTTTATAAAGTGAGTTATTTTCAATGCTGGTTTGGAAATTATTTTTTATCTTTTCTTTTTTTTCTTTTTTACTTTCAATATTTATGATTTTGTCTTCATAATATACAACTGTTCTATTGTCGATATCAGTTTTACTTTAAGGTTTTGTTCAACCTGAAAGATCACCTGATAAATGTTATTTTAAAATACCTGCTATTTAAAATTTGAGAAAATTGTTATCAATAAAATGCAATTCATTTATTCAAATAAATTGTCCAGAAAAACCACATTCAGAACCCTGCTCTCTAAAGGAAGATATAGAGGAGGTTCTTCCCTGTAATAATATAGGTAAACTGAATTTGGCTTTGGAAAGTTCTAACACATAGACCAGTCTATTACTATAGTATTCAGAATTGTTATCCAGAGAATTAATTTGAATGTGCATTAATTGCTTTGTCTGCCACATGTTCACTACCTTGCTAATTAAGAATGTGTTAAAAAAATCATGCTAAATAAGGATGGGAAAATGTGATTATTTGCAGTTTTTTTTCCACATACATTTTGCCAAAATATTTATTCCAGACAGTGTGAAGTGAAGTTTAAGAACCAAATTCCTGCTGCATATAGTGCTGACTTACTTTTCGCTGAAGTGTAGTGAGTCTGGAGTGACAGCCTGTGACAGTAAAGACTTACAAAATTCTCTGACATTACGGGATCCATGGTCTCTTGCAATGTGTATGGTTTTGGGTGTAAAGAGATGAGCAGGGGGTATGAGAGAATATTGGTTCATTTGTGAATCTAGCAGGGGGGTATCTGGAATGGTGGGAAAATGGGGAAGTCTCAGATGTACTTAATGTGCCAGAAGGACTATAGTGAAATAGGCTCTGTTGTTGTACTTTGGGGTAATTGCTATTTCCTTATCTCTTTCGGGCAAATCTTGTTACAAAAACTCTTAAGGGTCTTAAGAAGGCAGACATCAGATTTCCCCCAGAGAAGGGAAGTGATTGTTCTGTGATTGTCCAGTTTTATGCCTGTATTATCAAAACCAGTGGTGCCTACAAGAGGAGAGAATCAAGTGTGGATGTTTAACTTAGGCTTCCCAATTTCACCACAGGAGCAGAGGAAATGTGCTCTGAAACACATTAACAATAGATTTTGTGTGAGTGATAGGTAATTCTGCATTTTCTGACAAATATCATCTACGTATTTAAGCATCGCCAGCATCTTAAGTTCACCTGTCCATAGCTTGCAAATAGCTCCATAACTACTAGACAAGTGAAAGACTTGTTCCTCAGTTTTAGTCACGGAAGATAATATTTTCCTTCTCAAGAAATCCCCTGGAAAATTCCTCTGTGTGAGAAAGACCAGAAAAACTGAGACCAAAGAAGGAGATCTTCTCTACTTTTACAGTGAATTTATTTGATCACTTCTTTTAAATGATATACATTTGTTTTAAGATATGGGATACTGTAGCCTTTTTGTAGGCAAAACTCTTATTGACATCCCAGACTTGTCAGGCAGCAGCCAAGGCTGACCTCTCCAATCGGTTCCAATGGCTACGTTTCAGCCCTTGTCCCACATATCAGTGGGAATTCACCCACAGAAAAGGCAGGAAGACTTCACATTTTTGCCTTGACATATGCAGTCACACTAGTTTAACATGAAACTGAACCTCTGGATGTAGAACATTTTTTATTTTATATATTATGGATTTACTGGGGCTTTTGTTTGCAATGTTGTTCATATTTGGGTTTCGGGAGTTGAAAGCTCAGCCTGACAGACTGTGATACTGTACAAAACATTCCACAGGAAACCAAAAGATACCTTGTCAAGTTTCTATTCAGGTTTAATTATCTGATGTCCCAGGTTGTCATTTATACGTAAGCAGTTGCATAATTTTCCTGGTGTATCATACTCACAGATTTGTCACATGGCTTTCAAACAGGGTGACTGTGAATCAGAGAAACTGAGAAGGAAAATAGATTTTTCAGAGAGTTTGACAGTTTTGTGTCATACACATTTCATACAGAGCACAGTTATAGTTCATTGGTTATTCAGGGAGGCACATTCATTGTGGTGTTCAGGTGCTTCTACAGATAATTATGCTATTGTTACAAAGGATGGATATTCTGAGTATTTTCTTTTGTATTGCACAGCTTATACTGAAGCTTCACTTCATTAAGAAAAAATAGCTGAAATGACTGCAATATGAACACCTCTGTAACCTGCATTTGAAATCAAAATGCTTAATAAACATGAATGCAGATCTCAGACATATGATGCTTGTGACTTGCTGGACTAACATCATGGATGTTCAAAGTGAAAAAAAGTTGTGATCTGTATTTACACATGTATGAGAATGAAGAAGACCTGACATATGTCTGTATGATTTGCTGAGAGGCATATAGCTTGGAAATAATTTCTTTCTAGAATGACTTTCTGTGTGCGTTGCAGGAAGCAGATGTGCATACTGCCAAAGGGAGCTGATGCTCATTAAAGGGAAAAAGCTTGTAACTGGGGGCTCTGAGAGCAAGCTCCCTCCTGGAAATGGTGTGCTCTTTGGATGCCTCATCCCAAACTTACTGGAGCTGCAGAAAACACTCCTCCTAATGCAGAGGAGTTTGTGAACATAGTTTGAGTGAAGTCTTCCTCTGACACGCTGGCCAAACCCCTACACAGCAACTACCTCAGGTCTGTCTCAGCTGAACTTCATCAGCTGTTAGGGGCTTGAGTTTTTGGCATTGCTGGGATATCACTCCCTGTCCCTCGGCTGCATTCTGACCAGGGCAGTGAGCTCTGTGTGCTGCAAGCACATAGAGGGAAGGCTCCATTTTAGGGCAAGTGATTGCAAAAGTAGGTGCAACTCTGGACGATTACTTGCACAGAAAATGTATGTAATGTAAATATTTAGTTCCTGATCTTTCATTTATAGATGAACAATGAACAAAGTATATTTGGTGGCTGTGCATCTGTAACTGTATCTGCAGTGCTTAGAAGCCGCAACACAAGGTAACTTCTTTGGGGAGAACCTTAAAATGTAGCCTTAATATTATGGCCAATTACATGGTCCTCCTACACACGTGATGTACTGAAAAAAATAATTAGCAAATTACTTATTTGGCATCTTATAGCACAAGATCCAGACAGTTGGATTCCTGTTATGGGTGTGTGCAAAATCTATCAATGACAAAGGTCCGGACCTACTGCTCTTCAGTCATACCCAGGCAGCAGGGGGGTGAGGCTGTGAAGGAGAGGTTTTTATTTGCTTTCTTGCCATAGTACCCAGCAGCATTGTTAGCAGAGTCTGGTGCAGGGTTCAGACCTCGGCTTGGAGACTGTCTGGTTCTGTGTCACTCTCACTAGGATCTCCAGACCAGGCCTGCTATCAAAGCATTGCCACTAAGACAGCTTAGCTTGCTCAAGGTCTAGGCATCCTTGTCATTGCATGTTGTGGGTGAGGGGCATGAGCTGATCCCACTACATGCACCCGATTCCTCCCCAGGTGATCTGGATGGCACCCAATTCGAACCCCATTTGTGAGACCTGCCTCTTACTGGCCACCTGCTTCCACGGCCAAAACACAGTGCCCTGTCCACCAACCCACATGGCTTCAGGGCACTCCACCCGGATGAAACTAATAAAGAAAGTCAGAGAGGTGAGTGAATGGTATGATGACAATCAAACTGCACTCTCAGCACCTTCTGCTCAAAGGACCCCAGCCCACCAGGAGGTTTGCCGTGACAAACATGATCAGGGACCGTAAAGAGGGAGCGATGGGAGATACCTATCACAGCCAGGGAGCAGAGTGCCAGGAGCAGGGGTATTAGGTGTGATTTGACCTGTTCAGTCTTGGTTCTTGCAGTAGATTGGCAAGTATATAAAGACCGTATAGTGTGTTTGAATTTGTCTGTTGTGGCAATTTATCAGCTTTTAGGAATTGCCTGCACACCTAGTCGTAACAACTGTAGGCATTTAACAATTGATGGGTTGTGGGTTCACCCTCCTTAGTGTACCAGCTTCCCAGCAACTGCCTCTGCAGCATCAGAGACTTGTTAGACAGAGGAGACTGCTGTTTTGGCTGTCCCTGAAGAGAATAAGGTGAAGACTACCAGTTTGATCCCATATTTGCCTAGCTTCTAGGCATCAGGAATCCCTCTGAAGTGTCTGTGTCCATAAGTCTCCTCCCCCAGTTTCATTTAAATAACAGTATATTGAAATTACAGTATATTGCTAAGTATATAATATTAAGAAGACATTTTTCATAGAACCTTTCAGTAATATATTATGGTGTTAACCAACAGCATAGAAAAGAACAAATGTTTATTTCTTCCAGTGTATTTGCTTGTTTAGAGTCCATGTGTGCCCTGCCCAATTCCAGATTTTGCCAAAATACCAAAGGGGAATTATTGTGCAAATCTGTTCTAAAACTATGGGAATCTGTTGTTAATTCTAGCTCAAAGGAGTTTGCTTATATGACACGATATTTTTCCCCTCTGCTTTCCTATTGTCCTCATAAACCCAGTATATCTGTCTAAGGAAGACTTCAGTTGTGTTTTTGTCATCAGAACCAGGCTTTGTGCTTAAAACAAGAATTTGTTTTCACCCCACTTTGAAATAGTCTGGTTGTGAAGTTTGTTAAATAGTAGAACATAGCCCAAGATCCAGCATCTTCACTGGAAAGGCAGTGACTTTGATTTATATCATCCTTCTCAACCTGGTGTATGAAAGGGAAGCAACCATTCAATGACAGTGCAGACCTTGAACTATAATCTACATTTGGAGATGTTTAGGTGGACATATTTGTGTGCTTGGTGTGCTGTGATAGATCTCACTTCACTGTGAAAGCCGACTAAACCAACTGCACTTCTGAAGAAACACTGGAAGCCCTTTCTCCCTGCTTTTCCCTCAGAATGTGCTTAGGTTTTACAGCAACCTCTGCCTTTTATCCACCATGCCTTTTTCTCCTCCCTCTCTTTTCCTCCGTTGTTTTTGTAGTAGACTACTCAGTGTCAGAGAATGAGTGATATGTTTTTTTCCTTTTTTTCTTTCCCCCATCTTTTTCCCCACCCCTTTTTTTTTTTTTTCTTTTTTTTTCTTTTTTTTTCTTTCCCTTTTGTTTCTGCTGTAGTTTGCTTTGGAAAAGACATAAAATGCCTCTGGCTCCTTCAGGAAAGGATTGGTGATGGTGTGTAAATTCAAGTTACTATTACTATTTCCAAAACTGGGATTTTATTTCCCTGAAGAGGCTGAGATTTAAAACTGGATAAGAAAATATAATTTAGAGTGATCTTGATGCATGTCCCAACTATAGTTAAAACACTCAGTTGATATTATCTGGTTTCTGTGTTATTCACTACAGCTGGGGATGGCTATAGGTAAAGGAAACAACTTTAAGTTAATAAAAAGGCACATTAAACATGGGGAATGGGATCTGCTCATTATGAAAGGACTGAACTTTATTTTAGAAGGAAATAGTGTGATTTTCTTATGCAGTACATTGTTGTGCATTGAATGTAATAATGGGAGAAATAGCTGCAAAGAAAATGGCATCTTTTAAAGAGATAATGTAAAGGATTGGATAGCTAACTATGTTTGAAATCTTGGAGCACTTCAGCATATAAGTCTCTTTTAATTGTAACTTCAACTAGAATACCAGCATTTGCTCAACTTACAGTGAAAGAGAAATAGTGTAATTCTCCATTCCTGAAAGGTCTTTTTTCAAATCACAGTCTTCTGGAAATCAGCTCAGTTCGGCTGAGCAACAGAGCAGCTATGTAAGCCCCTTGCCCATGTGTTATTTTCAAAGCTTCTCAATTCCAATGTATTATCACTGTTTTCTCTTTCTTGAAAACAAAGACAAATATTTTATAATATTATACGAAATTAATATCTTACATAAAAATATTGCCTCTTCTAAATTTTTTTTGTATGTCAAAATTATTTAATGTCAGTGTCCTAATTTTTCAGAGTCTCATTTTCTGCTGATTGCAGTGAAATTAATAGAAAATCAAATCAGGAATATGTTCATTAAAATAAGTTAATTAATCTAAGAATATGGATATTTAGTCTAACATGAAAATATTTTTGTAAGAATATTTTCCACCACTATAAAAAGCAAACCATTATTTGCAGGATTAACTCTGGCTAGGTTATTTAGATACACCTTAGCAATTTTATCTCATTTTTTCTTAAAAAATATTTTTAATAAAAAACATTATCATAAACTGGGGAAATTTACTCAGTGTTCACTTTTGAAGCCCTATTTTAGGTGACCTGTGTAGGCACATTAATTTTAGTGGAACACTGATCTGAATTGATTTGTGATATCGCCATTTTTCCTGTTGATCCTGTAGCACTGAATTGCAGCTTCAGAACTTAGCTCTAATTTAGTAATTACAATTTCTACAAAAATATTACTTAAGTTTATCAATTTTAAAACCTAAAGAACCTCCTGTTTTTTTACTTAGATTATTTAGTAATGCCATTTTCCTAAATGATACTTCTATTTCATGCCTGCTGCTGCTGTTTTACGTGGAAAATTTGTTTGCTCTTCCCTAGGGATCCCATATGTTGGCTTGATTTATGCATCATATTTAATCTCCAATTATAAAGGGAGACTTAGCATGTTTGCTTCCTTGATGTTTGCAGTTTGTGTTTGATTGCTCCTCATCATGTCATAATCGTTTTAGCTGATTATCTGCATGTCCATAAAAATGAGATATCCTCTGGATTTTTATGCTGATTTGCTCTTCTGATTGAAGGACTAGATATTTTTCTTCCTGCTATGCTTTCTCTTGCTGTGGAAAGAACAACTGCTGCAATAGCTTCTTCATGATTGTGTTTTCAGGCCATTTGGAAAAGATTCATCATTTCCAGAAAATATTTGAAGGTTTTAATTTTGAAAACCAGCAGCGAGAAGGTGTCTGTGTGTCTGTGCGGGGCTGCGGCAGCATCTCTGCAGAGAAAGCTGCTGCCAGCCCTCACTGTGCTCCCAGGAGCTGCTCCCAGGAGCTGCTCCCTGGTACCTCTGCTGGCTGGTTTCAGTCGCTCTCGGGGAAGGGCTGTGCTGCAGGATCAAGGCAATGTGCTGAGCTTGCTGATCCGAGCACAGGAAGGATTCATTCCATCCAAGTCAGTGTCAGAATTGCGAGATACAAACGAAAACAGCGACCTTATTCACCAGAGGTGTGTCCCTTAAGCCGTGACACAGACTGAACTTCTGATGACTGCAGCAGGGGATTTTGGGCTGAGTCACTGTCCAAGCCCATTCAGGCTGCTGAATTAGGTAACTCGAATTTGAAGGTTGTGCTGTTTCTCCAGATTTTTTTTTTTTAAATAGTAATTTAGAATACTTCTACAAAGCCTGCATTCTTAGTCCATGCAATACATCAACTATTTAACTAAATATTGTAACAATTATATTATAATTTATACTAATTTATATTAATTTAATGGCCAAGTCATTTAAATAATTGTAAATAATAAAAAAAAAGAAAAATAATTTGCATTCTTTTGGACACCCGCTCTAGAGTTAGACTATAAAATTGAGGTGGCAGCCACCTGTGGCATCTAATGGGCTCTTTGTATTCACATAAAACTGAAATGAGATCCTTTACATTATTGCCATTAATGATAGCTAACATAAATACTGGTCTGTGATTTCGAATATTACAATTCTGGGTCATTTTCTGAAACATTTACAAGTAACATGGGAAGAGAACATGGGAGATGAACTAATATTGATACTGAGAGAACACATATCTAGCAAGCAAAAGTCAGAGAAGAAAAAGTAGGGAAGGGAACGAAACGAAATAATGTCAATTCACTAAAATATATAATTAGAATTTATACCATGAGGACCAAAAGTGAAATTTAGCTTGCATGTTTCTCTGATTCTTCTGTGACCAAGGCAGAAAAAAACCAAAATCAGGTAGTTTGTCTGACACGGATTGACTGGGAAGTTTGCCCAGAAATCTTGTATCCTTGTCTCTTCTTACCACGAAGGAGAGAGGAGGCTGAAGCTCTGCGACACGTTATACAAGCATAGCCTTCAAAACAGATATCAAGGTGTATGTGGTGGTTACCTCTGGCTGTGAAAGAATTGTTCTGACTTTTAGGAGTCCAAGCAGCTAATGGAAATTACTTATTCCAAAGACATTCCCATATTAGCTTGGTTCTAGACTTGCTTTTCATCCACCCACTCCCTCTGTGTTGCAAATCACAAACAGACTGAAAACAATGACAAAAAAAGATTTCTCTAGTTAGTATTGTATATAAAGTGACCAAAACTAAAGATTCCATCTGTTAAAACTACTCAACCAACTCCTTTACTAGTGAAAATATGTGCAGTCTGCCTGTTTCAGCAGTACCATATTGTGTGACCTAAATCTTTATGTCCACCCTGGTTTTGATTTCTCACCTCAATATTCCTTTTACTGTCACTGGCAGGTATCAGCAGCAACTTGGCAGAGAGGCACCAGACCCAGCTTGTGATCCTGACCCAATTACTCTTGTTTTGCTGGTAGCTTTGCGAGAACAGGTTTAAGTGAACTGTGAGTTGGTGGGAGGTCGTGTGTTCTAGGTTTCAAATGCAGCTCTAAAATTTGGAAATACTTATTCCACCAGTTGTCTGAAAACATTGATAGAAGCAGCAATTGAGAGCAAAAGTTCCTCTCTGATCTTTGTAGAAGCCAGAAAGTAGGCCCTTACAAATGGGAACCCTTATCTCTTACACAGCAGAGGTTCTTGTTCAGCTACAACTAAATGTTTGTTTGTTTGCTTAAAAAAAATTAGATTTCCCTTGAAAAACGATGGTTCAAATTAAGAAAAAAAATATTTATAAAACTTAAAAGCCAGGTTCAAGAACCTCTGCACTTAAAACAAATTCTTAGGGTTTTAAAAATCCATAAACACCATGGGGTTCTTGCACTCCTAATTACGAATGTTTAGATTTTGCTGTTCATTTCCTCTGATTGAAATACTGCAGGATGAATTATTCATCCAGTTTATACAGGGTCATGGAACTTAATCCCCTCCATTTATTTTAAGTGAATGTCATGTTTGTAAAAAGTGCCAGATTGACAGACAAGATTCAACCCTTCTGATAACCTACACTTTGTATCTAAGGCTGCTTGGAAATAAAAACACTTGTGACAAGACTATTAGGTCAACTCTTTCGCAGATAAAAGTCGGACATGAAAATTTGGGGGTTGGGGTTGTTTTTTTTTTTTTTTTTTTTTTTTTTTTTTTTGAGTAACATACTATAAAATCATGTAGAGTGAGATTTTTCTCTATCCCCTCATCTTTTAATTCAGGTCAGAGGAAGCCTCTGACTGCTTTGTGGGTATGGCTCAAACCTCCCCTGAGGCAGAATTGCTGTCTGTGCTGGGCCAGTTCCTACCCATCCCAGTGCTGCCTGCTTGGCTGAGGGCATCTGTGGCATCCACAGAATCAGGGTTTTGAGTGGTAAAGCTTTGTAGCAGTGCAACAAAAATAAGAATGATTCACCAGTTCAGTGAGGCAGTGATGACAGACACCATTGGTGGCCTGTGACAGGTTGCAGCTGGTGGTCCCTACACAACTGTCTCCACATCCTGCCCTCAGTAGTTGGGGCAAGATCTTTCTGACATTCAGAACAGACTGTAAAAACAACAGTTCTCACAACTTTGTTTTGAATAAGAGTGTTTGTGTGTGTAAAAGGGTTGTTCTGGCTGCTATAAATGTGTGTAGGTATTCTTTTAAAATAAGCTTTTAAAAAAAACTAGTGAATCTGTAGTCAATTTCCATCTATTTTATCAACAACAACCCAAGTGGCACTTACAGTATGATTCAATAGGGAACCTGGGCTTCTTCATGAGTTATAATTTGAAGACTTTGTGCCATAAGGCCACAGAATATATGTGTGATTGGATCAAATATTCATCAACAAGCCTGCTGACAAAGTATTTATCAATAATGTCTGCATTAATGTGAGGTGTTCAGGAGCTCAGATTTGCCTCAGATCATGCAAAGTCATCTGCTTATGGTTGTTGAGGAACCCCTGGTGGCCTTGTCTGTAGGAGATTCAGTAGACCAGGACATGGGCTGGAACATTGGTGGACCAGCCCATGAGATGCCTTGTTGGCACATTGCCTGGCACTGATCTACCCTGTACCCAATAACACATCCTTCCTAAAGCTCAGCTAAGGGTTCCCAGAACATGAGCACTCATAAAGAGGAATCCTACTTAAAATGGGGCTTCCAGGCACAGCCTTGAGCCCACTGCTTGGTACCAGCCTCCTTGGGAGTGGGAAAGCCTGAGGAACAGGGTGGATTCACAGAGTCCCAAAAAAACCCCTTCTTTTGAGGTCTAGAAGCTAGTTTGTGCTGTCTCAATGGCTATGAGACTTCAGGGATTTGTCCCATATATTTTCTTCTTCCAGCACCCACTCCTTCAGGGTTTCTGTACTCCTCTGTGCAGAATATGTTTGTGTTGTGGCTCTTGATATGCCAGAATTACAACCTGGCTTCAATGGCTCTACTGCACCTGTGCAAAGCTTTTTGTTGGTGCTTGTTACAAAAAACAGAGGTGCTCATTCTTGTTTCATGTTTGCACATTGGAAAAGCTTTTTAGGGCCACACTTCTTATTTCCAGTAAATTCAATGACATACTTTTCCTTGTGATTCAAGAATTGTACTGATTTGCAGTGCAATTATTTGCAGGTTTGTATTAATTAGTAGTGTTGTAAACACTGATATTTAAAGCTGAGGTTGAAGTGTAATCCTGAGTCACAGTAGGGGGTACGTAATACAAGTTACTGGTCAGATCTCATATTTGGATTTTCAAAAGAATAAGGCAAGTTCAGCTTCAACAAAGAATTTACCTATTTTGAATGACAATTATGTTGCTGCTGCAGCTGTATGTTTTGTATTAATTAATAGTCCTATTGGAAGCTTGAGGCCAGGTTCCCATTGCTGTCTCCTGCTGCTTTAGATTGCTGTACAGGTTTATATTGATGGAGTCCAGCAGAATTGCTGCTCTGTTTCCCAAATGATAATGAGAGGACAGTTAGACAGTGGAACTGTGAGCTACATGGGTAGGAAACTCATGAGCCTGAAAATAGACCATTTTGAAGGTAAATACTGGAAATCAGACAGGTGCAATCCAGGCAGAAATTGAACAAGTGAAATGTTAACACCATGTGAAGTTTTAGCAGAAACAAAAGTCTGTTTCATTTTTTAGCTTGGCACTATTCAGGTTGTGCCCAGTTGTACCATGTGATGATGCTACAGGATTTGATGAATCAATACTCTTTTTTCATATCCAGATAGGAAACATTTTTGAGAAAAAATGCCACCCCAAATCCTAAAACAAACACCACACAAATTGAAACTTAAGCAAGATAAATGATCTTGGTTTGTACCTGTTGTGCTGAAGAAATATTTATGGGTGTGAAATAAACCACCAAACACTTTTTAGTTGAATAAGGAGTCAATAATTGTGAAATCATAGCATAGCTGACTGAAGGACTCTCCCTTCTCTATTTAAATAGAAACCCTTCTCTCCAGCCTAAAGAAGGACCTAGGAAAATAGCTTGCAGGAAAGAACCCAGCCCTGCAATTGTTTCATGCACAGAAGCCCTGTTGAAACCAGGAGAAGCTATGAGCAAAGAACATTTGCAAGTTTTTTATCCCAAGTATCTAGAAAAAGATTTTTAAAAGTCACCATCAATACTACTACTACTAAAGTTGTGACTCATGCTCTGAACAAACAGTTACCAAAGAGTTTAAGATGTTCCACCCCCCCCCGGCTGCTGTTACCTCTTCACTCTGGGGAGTGTTGCTTTCAGATCTGTGCCCACACCTGCCCATGGCAGCTCAGGCTGAGCCCACCCTCCTTCGGGGCCAGGAAGGGTGAGGCACAGGGATGGGTCTGTCTCTCCTGCCGCTGGGATGGCTGTGGTCACTGCATAGCCAGGTTAAACTGCCACAGCACCACCCAGCAGGGCTTGCAACAGTGACAACACTTTGTGTGAAATTTGGGAAAGGTAGGTAAATGTAGCAGTTCATCTACTCCAACCTGTGGAAATCATTGCCAAGTGCATCAAGGTGCTCAGTGAGAGAGAAGGGAGAGACTCATTACAAATCCCTCCAGTAGCTCTCAAGTGTAATGATCAGACACAAACATGGGCTTTGAGGAGTCCATGAACAACAGCTTGCAGGAAGGCAGGCAGGTGCACAGGGGCCTCAGCAGTTCCTGCCCTGCTCTTGGTGTGTGTTTCCTCATCATCTGCTTGTGGTCCCTGTCTGGGACAGGTTGCTGGGAGAGGCGTGAAGCACTGATCACAGTGGGGTAACTGGTCTTAAAAGCAAAGTGGAAGGGGCCACTGAGCCCCTGAAATTCAGGGAGATGGTTATGGGTTTCTCTCTCGGTGTCCTCGCTGGTCCTGGTATTGGTACAAAGCCCCAGCAGCATCTGAGGGCAGTTATTTTATGCCAGATCCAATGTGTCTTACTCTCTTAGAAATCCTTTTCCTTTCCCTCTCCTTTCAGGCACCCAATGGCCTCCCGGCCGTCAGCAGTTTCGTGTCCGCACCAGCCATGCCCGCCTACGCCACACCGGCCCAAGTGTCACCTTACATGACGTACAGCGCCACTCCATCCAGCTACATGGCGAGCCACGGCTGGCAGCACGCCGGGGGCACCCCGCTGTCCCCTCACAGCTGCGACATCCCCGCCTCGCTGGCCTTCAAGGGCATGCAGACTGCCAGGGAGGGCGGCCACTCTGTCACGGCCTCCGCTCTCTGATGCAGGAGCTGGTCCGGGAGCACCGTGAGCTCGATGGCTCCTTGGCCCCTGAGCCCAGCTCACGGACTGCTCCCTTCACGCTGGCCACACCTGGCACTTCTCCTCGTGACTTGTCTCCCCTAAGGCTTTTGGGATTAAAGAGCGGAAGGCAACATCAGAAACTGAGAGAAGTGTGGTGTTGCGCTCTTAAAGACTTTGTGTCCCTCAAAGGGCTCGTGGAGCCTTGTTCCACTCTCTCCTGGTCAAACCACACATATTTATTCTTAATCATCACAAACTTTCTAAATGTGCAATTGTTACTAAGATTTGTGCAAAAATCAATAAAGAAAAATCACCACAGAAAATTCTGCTATGCCTTGAATCAGCAGAGGTGGCTGAATGGGAAGTCTTTGCCAAATGCCTAGAGAACAACCCTTTAATTGATAAGATTATACAATCCACTGTTATTATGAGGTCCTTTATTGTTGTTTTATTGGGTTTTGGTAATCAAATATAGAATGAAGGCAATAGGTGGCTTTCAGATTCTTCTGGCATGTTGCCATCGTCAGGCAGTAGTCAGATCTTTGTGATTTTATCCATTTGTAAATAGAGGCTTTTGACAGCATTTGTTTTCACCTTCCAGTACATTTCTTACCTTTTTCTTTTTCTTTTTCTTTTTCTTTTTCTTTTTCTTTTTCTTTTTCTTTTTCTTTTTCTTTTTGGTGGTTTTTTTTTTTTTTTTTTTTTTTTTTTAAGTTAAGAAGATTTCTAGTTATTTTCTATGTCTTTGCATGGTGGGGTGATAGGTGATGAGGTTTAGGTAGGTGTTTTTGGTCATGTTTTTGTGCCCACAGTGGAGGCTTCATCATCTTATGAGATAGTTATCTCTTTGGCAGAAGAGCCAAAGGCAGGAATCCAGTTAAGTAACTCTCCAGTTATACCCAACCTCCCAGATTCATGAAACACCACATTCATATGAAGTATATAAACAGAAATATGGGTGGAAAATACCTGAATAAAACAGAAAACTGTAGAGGAAAATGCTGTTAGTGTGCAAGCTGTGCAAAGATGCTTAAAAAGCCCTATCAGTCAAAAACTCCACTGAGAAACAGAATTGTACCATTATTCTCAGCTCACTGGTGTCCAGATTATGTTGTAATTTTTAAAGAGGACCTTGTCTTTAATTTCTGCTTTAATGAATGTAAAGTATGGCTCTTGGTAAAGTTTACATTATTGTTCTGAAGCATTTTTTGTCCCCTGATAAGTATACTGGTGGTGGTGCTACAAACAGAGATATTATTTAATATTAGCAAATTTCCTTTCTACATTTCTGTATGCAGTGGCAAGTACTCCATGCCAGTTATTTTGCTTTAAACTTTAATCCCAAGAGAGCTAAAATTCTGATTTTTGAAAATTTACGTGTTTTCCTTGGGCAATAATAAAGTTCTGACTATTATTATACTTTTCCCATGCTGTAGGTATGTTCAGAATATGAATGTGGAAAGAAAAAAGCCTGGTGTGACATTTCATATCCATCATAGACTATTAATATATTGTGTATTTTTAAAAGTGTTTTGCAATAACTTAAATTACTGTAGACATAGTTAAAGCAAAGGAGAAAATACTGTTCTTCATATATTGTTCTATCTGCATCCCATATTAAACACTAATTCAGTGAGAAAGTAAAATACATTTCCCCCTTAAAATATAGTTATCTTTTTGTGGATTTTCAGCTTTCGTCACCAAGACAGCTGTGGGTAAATTTTCATAAAAATCTAAGTAATCAGTATTTATGTCATGTACAGTATATCCACTGAAATACGGATGGACTTCTCTGGCTGCCGCCACCTTTGCTTCTTGCACTAAAAAATTGTTAACAGAACTGCATTTCTGTAAAGAACACAGATATTGTATTTTGGCCCCAAGGAAACAAAGATCTGATCTTGGATGTGATTAATTTTCTTCAGTCTCAAAGGTATCCAACAGCTGTTTAGCTTTAATGAGATGCTGAAACCCTTGTTATTCAGTAGAACATTTTTTCAAGAATGTTTCTTTGAAACCACTAAAGTGCACACAAGTGCATTTCCACTCTGCCACACTGTTAGTGACATGATGGATGCTATTCTGCCTTTATGCTGTTATAGCTGAAATAAGGTGAGCCTTAATACCATGAAAAAGAAATAATAATTTAATTTAATACCAGACAAGCTCTTCACTAAAGACAAAATGGGGAAAAAGTAAGAAAAAGATCACAAGTAGATAAGTGATTAAGTTGGCAGGAGGATTTTAGCTTTCAGCTTAGTTGTTCTACTGGATTACAGAATTACTGAGTGAGTCTACCTATTGTTTTCCATAGAACTCAAACAAGGGGCACCAAAGGGAAAAGAAAACAAAAAAGGAAGGAAGAGAAACTTTTCAAAGCACAGCTTTTTTGAGCTTCAAGACTTTGCAAGCCTGTAACAAAGTGTGCCTGTGTTAAAAGTTTTCCAAATTTTCTTGAGTAATGTGAGGTCATTTCTGGAATAAAAGTTGTCTTTCCTGACATTCCAATGAGGAATTAGTGTGTTTTGGGAGACAGAGAGACAGATCCTTAGCTTGTATCAGTTATTTTCATTATCTTCAGCTAAATTAGGATAATTTATAAAACAAGGACGGGACATTATGTTAATTATTCCTCCCATGGGATACACCATCATAAACCATTTTTGTTTGTGTTTGTTTAGGTACAGCTCTCCGCGCATCTGCCTGCTGTACATGATTCCTTACCCCTGAATGGGAAGTCAGCGGGGCTGCGTGCAGAAAGGGTTGCTCAGAGTGAGCAACAGTGCCTGACCTTGGCTCTTGGTGAACTGCCTGTCATGGATTTTTTTTGGTGTGAAATTTCACGATTTTTTTTTTTAAATGGAGACTTACGATGTAGAATAATCCTTTGCCCAAGGACTATTTCACTGCTTATACCCACGGGTAAACCGAAAACTGCAACATGTTCACTTATCACACAACTCTAAACCATTTTACATTAAATTAAAAAGAAAAAGGGAATGGATTCCTAAAAAATAATAAATAAGGGTTAACTGCTGCTGTGAAGTACCCAGGTATAAATCTGGAGTGAACCCACTGAGGTGAATGGATCCTTTTGGGAAATATTCTGTATATGTGGGTGCAGAATTAATTTTTTTTAGTCTGAAAAGTCTACACTTCATTCCCAGAATGTTAAATGTTTCCAAAGAAATCAGTGAAGCCTAATAATACTCCCTTCAACTCAACTATGTTTGCATGGTCCCAGTCCAGAAGATCTTTGGTGTAAAATAGAATTTCAGCCCACATTACATGAGGAGTAATGGGGCATTGGGCTGGCATGTTCATAGGTTTGTTTTCCCATACCATGCTGTTTTCTGTTTTTGAATGTTTCTCCTTTTATCCAAGATCAGGCTGAGCTATTAACTGAAAAAAAATCATGTTGGAAAGGATGTAAAACCAAAGGCTATATATGTATATACAGTATGTTTAAAGCATTTTATTTTTATATTTTGAATGCTCTAAATTAATAAAAGACAAATTATAAAGCATTTTGCTTTAGGTTTCTGAAATTATCTTGGTAGTGTCTTCTCTTTGGCCAAGTACTGATAATAAAATGCAACAACAAGGAACACTTGCCTTAAAAACATAAAGTTTAACAGAGCTAATTTTATTGATTTTTAGCTATGAAATAGCATAGGTATGAAAAGCCACTGTTGCCAAATTCAGACAAAAGAGAGGCTTATTGAGCATGTTAATACAGGCATTCTTTAAAGCGCTGAAAACACATTTCTATTTTTAGCTTTTTGTTGCTTTTCTAATGCATTAAATACACTTGTGAGATGAGACTTCACATGTGAACCGACATTTTCAAGTAGCAATGCAGAAAGGTACTTTAGGATTGCCAAGGTAGAGGTTTGTACCTCTTTCAGAGGAAGAATATTATTGCTAACAGAGTGAATGTAGTATGGGGGAGATACTGAAACTTTGCAAGATGTATCCTCCTTTGACAACAAACCAAGTTACATAATGAAGACATTTTATGTATATATATATATATATATATATATATATTTATTTATTATATATAAAATATTTTTTTAACAGAATAATGCAAGATTTAAAATTATTTAAGGAGTTTTTTAAGAGAAAATGTAGAATAGCACAACTGCATGAACAGAAACTATGTCTTCAGTCAGCATAGCAGAATTTACTGTATTTGGTGGAGTTGGAATGGCTAGTAAGAACGCAAGTATATCCCTGGAATATTTATATTTACAGTGACTGGGAAAAGGAAAAAATTTAGCTTTAGAGCAACTTTTTTTATCTACAGAAAGGTGCATTTATTCGATGGGTACAGCTAGCTATGTACAACTGCAGATGTGCTACCTTGTTTCACCATTCCATGGTGGAAATGAAAGGCTAAAGGGGCAGTCAGGGGGCACTGAGCATTTTTATCACAGGACAGCTCTTTTGGGATAGTATATCAAAGTGGATAAAAGTTTTGCATTTGACTTCTTTCTGCTAATTTATTTACTCATTTCTTCTATGAATCCCAAGTTGGTTTGTTTTTTTTATGCAACTTGATGCATACTAATTACTTTCAGTACTTTTGATCTGAATGAGATTTATATAATATATATGGCTAAGAACAAGTAGGATATTTAGCACTATGCATGTTTTTAAGGTTGTGGCTACTTGTGCTTGTCCTTTTCTATCCAAACTCCAAAGAATTTGAAAACCTTTTATTGGAATGCTGAAATCATACTGGGCTGAATTGAAACTGGACCCAAGAGTGACTGAATAGTTGCAGAGTATGGATAATTTTTTTTAATGTGGAGTCAACAGAGCTGTCAGTTTACATTAGCTTAGTATCTGCCCCCTCCCCAGCATTATTCCTTTTTTTCCTTTAAAGTACCCTGATAGTTTTTATCTTGCAATTTCAGCTGAAACTTTTAAAAAAGTGTGTGATTACATAGGATGATTGTGTGTCAAGAAATTTCAGTTTGTCCTTTAAAAACTCAGTTTTAAGTCTGCTTTATATTTTCTCTTGGTCCAGCAAAACCATTACAAATGTCAAGTGCTATTTAATTATGCACTTACAGAAAAACATGTACTTAAATGTTTTCTTGGATCAGGACCTAGAGACCATATTTGTTTGGAATTGTATTAACATCAGTGCAATCTGAGGGTATTCAACACTATAAAGGATAAGAATCATTTGCTTTATTATGGTGTATTTTAGAATGCATGCAATTTTAAAGAGTACATTTTTCAGAAATGCTCCTTGTGATTAACTGTGTCCTGAAGCCATGCATAAACATATTCGTAAACCAAAAGCATCACTGCACCACCTGGAAGAAAAGATATTATTTTACTACATAGAAAATCCAGTATTTTCAAAATTTTATAGAGCATTTCTAGTGTAACATAAACAAGAATATGGCAAAGCTGTATTTACAAAATGAATAAGTCTATTTCCTGAGTTCAATAAAAATTCACCAATTCATAAACCATAACAGTTTTACTTAATATTAGATCTTAAAGTTGATGTAAATAGCTTGTATATTAAATCAAATTCACTCTCAGTGTGATTTTTCCTAATACTTTTTCAAGATTAATGTTTTCCTTTGTTCTTCTAAAAGTGAAACTTTTAGTCTTAATATATGTATATTTGTGTGCCTGTTTAACAAGATTTGGCCATGAAAGAGCAACTTGACTGGTGGAATGGCAAAAATTCATCTTCAGGATGATAAGAACACTTCCAGGTAAGAGTCAAGAGAGATTTTTACCTGTTTTTTCACTATGTCTAAAGCAGAAAATCACAGTGTGGAAGTGAGTATAATCTTTCCTGGCTACAAATCCACAGGTGAAGTTTTGATCTAATGAAATGGCATTATTTGCTAGAATTGGTAACAGTATAAAATCTCAGTTTGAAAGCCATAAAATATCTTTACTGTTAGTGAAGCCAGACTGCAATTGGGTTGTGAGAGATAAAAAAAGGGAACATTTATGTATATATAACTAAACACATAGAGAAGCTTCTAGTTGGAGAACATGGATAAAGGGAACCAGACTGCATGAGTAAAAATATATTATTTGTGAGTGCCTGCACTGTGGCATAAGTATCTTCTTGCCTTTGCCTTTGCCTGTTGGTGCAGTTGGCAGCTTGGAGTGGCATCTCTAACAAATGAGGCTTCTGCTGAACTAGACTCACCTTTCTAGGGATAGGCTAAGACAACCAGGCACACAGAATTACTCCATCAGTTTCTCCATATCATTTATCCTAAGGAACCATCACCAGACTTGAAATTCTCAATGAAAAGGAACTCACAGAAAGCTAGACAGAGCAGATGTTTGCAAAAGGCTTTGACGGACAAACAAATCATAGACACAATGTCTAAGATGTGATCTGAACCCAAATCAAGGCTGATTCCAAATCTCATACTGTGTGATTTGTTTGTGTATCTCTTTTCCTGTAAACACTCACATGTTAGAAGAAGGAATTACCTTCCAGTCATAATAAAGACTGTATTATTGTTTCGTCAGAAAGTTAAACCTATATGTTAGTTAGCCAATATAACTACAGAAGTATTTAGAATGAAGTTCACATGTAACTGACTTGCTGGATGTGGGCCAGAATGCATAGTCATCTGTAAGATGGAAAATCTTATTCCAAAATCTGCTATGCTAAGAGGTACTGGGAAAGCTAAACACTGCCTTCTCTTTGTCTTGTATGTAATCTAGTATCTTTGGAGTGTGAGGGAAAAGGCTTTTAGCTCCAGAGCTCCTTGTTTCCCCTCCCCACCTTCTTCCTTACCCTGCACAAAAACCAGGCATGGTCTAGTACTTAGCCAGATGGATTGGATATGCAAACATTTACAGAAAAACCTAATGCCTCCTTTATACTGCAGAACAGGCTCTGTACCTACTTGCTTTACCTATGTGTGTTCTTGCATATTAAACAACCAGCTTGAACAACTGGAAATACAATTTCATGGGAATGGGATACTGTTCAAATTGGGACTTCTGCTCTTTTTGATGCAGACTGCCTTTGTGGGCTGACAAAGTCTGAGGGCCCAATGCTTTGCTTTCATGGTTAATCAAAACCAGTCAGGAAAAAAAAAAAAAACAACTCTAAAAGCCAAAGAAGATACAGCTTTCAATCACTGTGCTCCCACATTTGGAGTAATAATTGGTAAGAAGTGGTCAAGGAACAACCCCAGTTTTAAGATATCCTTGTTCTCTTAGTTTTCCAGGGCCATACAAGTCTCTTCCCAACTCTGCTATCAGCTTTTTAGTGTCTGCCTCCATAGAGCATAAGAGAAGTAAGTAACTGGAATTTGATATGCTTGGGCTGTGCCTTGACTAGTTGAGTGCATTTTATGGAGAGACTCTAACCTGCATTTAGGCTGACTTCACATAGGTATGGAATAGCGCTAACGAACTCAAAAGATCACATTAGAAGGAATAGGAAACTTAAAGAAACTTCCAAGAGTGTTACAGTTCTGTCATTTGCATGTACTTCCGTTTGTTCATAAATAAAACAGTTGCATGAACCAGCACTTACTTGGATCAGCAATTCTCTGATGCATATGTGTAAACTGTTTTTTTTAGACACATATTTAGCCACATCCATCTGTGATACTACTAGATGATGCTATTTTAAAAAGAAACCATTCAAAGTGAAACATGTTTTGATTCATTTATTTAACTGATATTTACTACATTTTCTCAAGAAACTGTAAAAATGGGAAGAGAAAGCCAGAACAAAAGCAAAATAGAAATGACAGAAGGAAAATTACCTGGACCGAGCCTCATGATCTTGGGAAGCAAGCCTTTGTACAGAGCCAGAAATCTGTAGCAGAAGAATAACAAACAAAACATTTCAAACAATATTCTTGCTCTAAAAGAAGAACGGAATTGTAGCATATGTTTGTTAAAATGCTGGCAGAGCACTTAGAGGCAATTATTTGAAATTACACATGTTCAATAGCAGGCTGTATCTGGATTTTAACATTTTACAGAGGCAGATCAGATGAAGAGAAAAAGTTAATCAATGTTCAGTCGCAAAAGCAATGTTGTGAGCTTAGCCAATCAGAAATATGACTTTAATCAGTGAGATGGGTTTACTTTCAAGACAAGTCTGTTAACAACAGCTGCATATAGGGACAAAATGACTGATATAATTGAATATCAAAGCCACAACTCAGTCACCACTTGAGAAATATTTTTAAAAGTTGGAAAATGTTATTACCACAAGGATCTGTCTCCAGTTTAATTATTTCAGCTATAATTTTAAAGGTACAGAGGCCTGCATAATTAAAATTAGATTAAATTGAGAAATAATATGTTTTCTGTTCATATTTTCCTTTTACAAAATGAAGAGTTGAAAAAATTACAGATGAGATATATGAAGCATTTACTTGGGGAACATAAATTTTGACAATGTGATAATCATTTTGTAACTCTCTTGTAGAAACTCATATGTAGTAGGAAGATATGTCCTTGTAATTCTAAAATAAATTTTCAAAATGCTACATTGGGCTCTTTTGATAAGTGAGTTCAGGGTGGCTTAGTGGTCCTCATCAAATTTGAAATACAACAATGTGTTTTTATGGGCCCATACAAACTAAAACAGAGGTCTGGACATTTATTAAAATAAGAATGTTTTACCCTTCCTCTTTATAGACTGTTGCCATAGTTTTAAAACAGGTTCTGTACTTGATCTCTCCAGGAACTGGCTGTGGTCCTTGAATCCTACTTTTTGCAACATCAAAAGGAATGTTAATAATTGAGGCTATTGTTCCTGAGACTAGCCCAATTCCAAATTTCCTCAAAAACTCCAAATTTGGATCCTACAAAAAAAAAAAAAAAAAAAAAAAAAAAAAGAAAGAAAGAATAAAAAGGGAAATGGAAAGACCTGTGCAGGTTAAGCACTATAAAGTAATAAGCATTTAATCAGAAAACTCACACAACACACTCGTGTTATTTTAGCGGAACACATTAGGATTTCCTATGCTGGAACTTGTTTTCTTGACAATCCTATTGGCTATGTTTTTACACATGGTCTAAATTGCTGAAGTACACATTTCCTCACACAGGATTTATAAACACAGTTCATAAAGAAAGACTGGTATGGCATATGGGGATGATTTGTATAATTGGGCTTCACAATGTACTTAGTATTACTGTATCAAAACAGGAGAAATCCAAGCACACTATTAGCTAATTGGCCAGAATATTTTACAAATGACAGCAACTTCCACCATGAAGCCTACTAAAACACTCATTTGTGTGTTGGACCCCCAAATGCTAAATTAAATAAAGACTAATCTCAGTCTGCTGCCATTCCCCTCCAGGTTTTTTACATTTATTTTCACATGTAGCTGATCCACTGTACTGAGAAGTGCTAGCTTCCTGTTATTAACAATCCAACTCGGCACAACGGCAAGAGAGCCTCCACGTTCTGCGCATTATAAACGGTGGTAATTCACTCAGCTAATTGGCTGAAGAATTTACAACAGATTGTTTCTGAACCCTACTATATGCACACGGTAAAAGTTAGAAGTAGGTTAGAAGTGCATCTAAAAATTTCTTTGCTCACTCACAGTTCACAGTTCAACTGGCTTTTATTTGATCTTTTAGAAAGACCTCCTACTTTGGCATTTCTATGACATCAAAGAACCCAGAGTTTATCTGGGAGTCAAAGTCCCTTGAAGCAGGTTTAATCCTATTTCTCTAAGTAGGAAGTCACAGGCAAGCGTGTTCCAGAACATTTCCTATGCACATAATTTGGTTTTGCTTCAGTTTTTAACAGAAGGACACTTTTTTGCTACATCACATTCTTTATATGGAGCTTACTTATGTCATGAAGGTGCTTTAATTATAGAAAATCATTATTAAAATAACAAATGATCTTGCCGTGTATAACATTGGCACAATGTTAAAATATGACAGTTTTTTGTTTCCTAAACCTATATGTTTTTAAATGAAACAGAAACCAAGAAATAAGTTTTCATTTCCAGATTAGCGATAAGAAAATAAATTAAAACTTCCATAATAAACATTGAATGAAGCCCATACAGGTGTTAAGAAAGAAATGTCAAATCAACAGAGCCCTTTATTACTTGCAGAAAAACTCATACCTTGATTTAACAAAACATGAAACGTACTGATAATAACTTAAAAATTAGAATCGGTTGTGGTACAAGAATAGTAGTCCTTTTTTGGCAAAGATCTTAGCAAAAAATTTCTGTTCATTCTGTACATACAGTGATTTAAATGCAAATAAAATAAAGCCCATGTTTCTGGTATCTAGAGAAGTAAAGAAGACCCCTTTTGCCCATTCACAAAACTGGACTCTAACCAAACGTACCATAGTCAACACCTGCTTTGCTGTAACTTGATTTTTTTAATCATAAACCTCATGGGCAAGGTTTTTCTATGAAATTCATCACTGTAATATCTGGATAATTTAATTAGTATAAAGATTCAATATAAATTTATGTGTCATGTCAAAAATTAAAAGTAATTTTTTTCAAAAAGCTCAGCTTAGTGGCTCTGAGGTTATTCCACTACTCCTTCTGATCTAGTCTTCTCCTAAATCAGCTTGGCTTACTAGTTTTTCAAGTCCATTGCACCACATGCACTTTTCACTCTCTATTCCTACACAGAACTTCTCTGTTCGCATGGATCTGAAAGGTACTAAAATAAAACTATTGTCTGCTATTTTGCTTACTCACCAAGCTGAGTAGCCCATTTGGGTTTCCCATCTCTTCTTTCCCTCTAGAAGTTCAGAGCCCCTTTCTCTTACAAGACACACATCACCTACATCATCCTACATAATCCTACATCATCCTACATCACCCCTGGCCTGGACAGCCCTTGTAACAGGAGGCACATCTGCAGTAGCTGGGGCTGGCAGCACCCAACTTGAAATGAGTCCTGCAGTTGGCTACATTTCAAAGGGGCTTTTAACAGGTGTGAGGAAATTTCATACTGTTGAGAAATGTGGCAGCCACTTGGAGGTGGTAGTGAGCAAAGGTTTTAATGGAACTAATGTTTAAAAGAACATCTAGTTATGATAAAAAATTGCAAAGCTGCTGGACACCTATGAAATGTGCTATAAAAGTAGATGCCATTTGAAAAATAATTTCATTGATAGGGCAGAAGCATAGCTGCTATTTCTCTATGGTTGGTAAATTAGTGGCCACTGAAAGAAATCAGGCTTATTTCATTTTCAGTAAACAGAGGGCAAGGTTGGCTGTAAATGGTCTGTTTAGCAGAATAGACTGAACATCTGAAAAATTATTCATTAAGGACATTTACAACCCACACATGTCATTGATATCATTTGACCACTCTATTTACAAGATTTATTGTCTTTGGCAAAATAGGCAGCAAACATCCCTAACTGGGATGCAAATTTAATGCACAGTTTAGCTGACAGCTAAAAGATTCATTCAGAGATTTTAATATATTTTCAACTTATGTTAGAGATGGTGGAGAGCAAATATATAGTCAATAGTCAAAATTATTTCACAAGTGTAGTATTCTAATTTCACAATTTTTATATATTATAATTTTTATATATTATAATTTTTACATATTTGTCAATATTACAAGACTGGCTTTAAGACTTTCTTTTCTGGCAAAATATACAAAGTTAACAAACTAGATTTTGTCATGAAATCAAGTATGTGAGAAATCTAAACAAATTAACAACTGTTAAGTATTTTTCAGACTAACTGCAAACCAGCTTCTACCAAATTCCTTGTACAGGTTTGATAACTCTAAGCCTCTAGTACCTGCCCACTGACAGAAGAGATTTGTTACAGGTCATAAATTATTGTCAAATACTTCCATTTAGCAGTCACTGAAGTGAAATTCAATGCATGTAAGTACTTGAGACATAATGTTGGCTAGCACCAGCCAGATGAAGTCTGATCTACGTCTTAAATTCAGGGTAAGTTTTGCACTGATTTTAATGGAAGTCTGATCAGAATTACTGGCTATTATCTGTACAGACTGTCTATAGCACTGATGCTGGCTGGCCTGAAGAGTCCTCTTGGCTTTATTAGCGCTATAGAATACTGCCACCATTCAAAACAGACTGACTGCATGAAGCCAGCCCGTTAGGAAGGGTTCCTTGCCTTCCCTGGTTCCTAAGCCACACCCAGAGCTGTGCTGGCTGCCCAGGGCCGAAGCTGTGCCCGGGAATGTTTAACAGCACGGGCAGCTGAGTTTCAGCATTGCCACTCCATTTACCAGCACAGACGCAGTCACTGTGCAAGCCACCATGTAAGGCACTGTGCACTGTTTAAGCACCAGGCAAACCCCTCCACTTATTTGCAGTTAATCCCACACTGCTTAAATTGCCTTTTGATTCTGCTAATATTTGAGGAGACCTGGGTCATCAGCTGACATTGAAGTAATTTCCCTTTTGTTTTCTACATATATTTAAACCCATGTTGTAGATGTTAAAATTTTTCTGCATCGTAAAAAATCTGTATAAAGTACTAATTTCCTTTAGATCATAAAGCTCTGAATCTTTCTAATAATGTAATACTTATTTCCTATTTTTAAAAATCTGAACGGCTAGGAAAGCATGCTTATACCAAATATTATTACTATTCAATTCCTATGCAAGAACATTTCCCATGATTCCCATAGAAGCTACACGCTAGTCTCTGTCCTTACCTGCATATTTTCCTGAATTTCCTGCACAGTGATTATAATTTTTTAATCTTTTGATGAACACAAAAGTGTTTACTCCTATCTTAGTAACAAGCTGTGCCTGTGCCTGGAGTTTTTAGAATGTGTGACTAAAGTGCACTGTAAAATATGCTTAGATACACTGTAAGAAACTTGTAGAAACTTGTGGGTCAGCTGCCCTTGAACAATTCAATTTACTGTAATAATCTGCAAATAAGAAGTGGAGGTTTTCTCCATTTACACAATGCTGCCAACAAAAATACCAGGCTACTCAGAAGTGCAGAAAAAAAAGAGGTGTTACTTCATATGGGAATAGAAACCGATCCCTTTTGATGTGAATTGCACCTTCTTACACGTATATCACTACGTACTACACCTGTGACTGTTTAACTGTCATCATCTAAAAATCACATTAGTGAAAACAGACTTCAATAAGTAGCATACTTGAATCATTAATAAACCATTAGTTGTTTCTCACACAGTTATTTAGAAAGTTGCTGATATTACCATGTTTTCATTTGTAAAGTTTCCTTTTGTGGTAAAGGGAATGTTTGTTTCCTTTGTTATTCAAAGTAATATAGGACTATCAAAATTTCTTTAAGTGAAATTACAGCTATAATGTTTTTTTTTTATTTAATTATAAATGATATAAAGTCCCTGTGCATGACCCTTTACATCCTGTTTTGGACTGTCTCTCTCCCATAAGGATGAAACTTTCCTGTCATCCTTCGATACTAGGCTGAACTCTCTTTTGAGTAAATAGGTGCAGTGCTTGGCCAGAATGACCTATATCCTGCAGCTCAGCCACCTCTGCAAGCTTAGCCCATATGTGAATATTGACAGAATTTCTAGAAACTGATTTTTCTCTACTAAGCTAGTTTGCTACAAAAAAATTTGCATACATACCAAACATAAGCACAACATGTCTGTATCTCATTTCTGCCTTTTTGCACTGCTACCATGCTATAAAGGGAAATTCATAAAAACAATAATACAAACATGACTACACTCAGCTTTGCTTAAAAAGTGAGAAGGTCGAGTCCTTAATTTGCTTCCACTAAAATGCTATGGATTTCTGCAAAACAGGGATAGGTTAGTCACTGTTTATCACTAAATACCACAGCTTTGCACAGAAAAATAGAGTGTGAATAAAAATGTCAGACTTCTCATCTGATTGTCTATTGCATTGTATGAAGAACTTACTTTATTGACTGGAAGAATGTTTTTCACATTGAAGTAGAATCCAAAGTAAACCATGTTAAAAACTCCGTGACGGCCCAGTGTTGCAGTAAGGCCTTTGTTGAGTCCTTGGAAGCCCAGACCACCGGTTTTAATGATCTGCTGAGCTTGAACAAAGCTAGATGGTTGCTACACAAGTCAAGCAAAAGAAGGAAGAGATCATCTTTACAAAACGAAAACAATAAACATAGCATCATTTCTATGCTGTTGACAAACACAGTGTTGCCAATTTTTGCAATTTTATAGTAAGTATCACTGTATTTGTTATTTTCCCTTTCCTGTGACCAATAAAACCCACAACTTTAATTAAAAAAGATTCCTCATTTTTCTGGTTGCAGAATAAGATGAAAGCAGGAACTGAGTACTGTAAAAGAGTAGTACTTTAACAGCTTTCCATTTCATAAAAGACAAAAAGGAAAGAACTGCCTCATGTCAGACAGAATCTGCCTGACTACATGCACCTTTGATCTTTTTTTTGAATATACCGTGATATTCAGAATTAGCTATTCCCCCTCTGAATATTTTACATATTTTTAGCAGCTTTATAGAAACATTACTTTCAAAAAATTGTTGAATAGAATTCGGCTTTCTCCAATGCATAAAGCCAAAAAAAGCCATAAAGCCATAAAGCTCTGGGTAACCAAATCCATAATTAGAAAGGCAAAACATGACTTCCACTAGGAGGTTCAGACATGAAAATATAGAAGAATTTTGACTACACCACTGTGAATACCACTAATTTCAATACAATTATTTGTTTAATAGCTTTCCATTTCAAAATATCGCTGTGGTAGATCAACAGCATCAGCCAAATGATGCTACTATATCTGACACAGCATATGACTGCTTATTTAAGTGGCTGATGAGTATAATCTTTAATACAAAGTTTCATTTTGTTTTTTCATATTTCACAACTAATATAATCCTGCTAATGGTCTGCATATATTTCACTGGAGTTTACTTTTCTATCTACTCCCAAGAATTCAAGACAGAATCTATTCCAAAATGGAGATACAAAACATGGATACTAGCAATAACATCATTTTATGTGCTCCAAAAATGGATGTTAGATCTTCAAGAAATAAAACAGCAACCTTCAATATTAAGATATCCCATAGTATCCCTTGTCTTGAGTATGGATTTACTCATGACTCAAGGGGACGCCTGTCACTTGCTGAACACCTGAGATAGGATTAATAAGCCCAAATATAGACACCCGCAGTGTCTACACCTGACTTCCCTTTTCAGTCCTGTAGTTACAAAGAGGACTCTCTTTGGCAGCACTTCCCTTTTACCAAAGGAGGTGTTATCACGTCAATTGAGCAAGCCATAAAAGGTCTGCAGTTCATCATTGATGATGGAAGGACCTTAGACAGAGGAATTTATCGTACAAACATCTGGAGTTAGTGTATTTCACACAGCTGTTGACTTTTACTTAATATAGACCTATTCAGTGGAATCTGGAGTCAGATTCTTCTCATCATAAGGCAGAAAATTGTATTTGGTTAATTAATCATAACTCTTATGTCAGGTGAGAAGATTTTATTCAACACACCAGCTTCTATAGCCAGTGAGTTATCCAGGGCGACAGGGAAAGGGAAAAATAAAAAGGAAAACCAAACAACATGGTGCTGGACTTCTTGCAGTCTACTTTAACAAAAAGCCACCATTATTTTTACCCACAGCAATCTCCCTTACAAAAGGGCTGATACGTGATTTATAGTGGCCTTCCTCTTTAAATCTATCAACCCTGGAAAGATGATCTGCTACCACAGAACAATTCAGCTGTCACTGCAGGGTGTGAATATTTGCTTTGGGGGTGTGCTGGAGTCTGGGTGTGAGTGTATGTGCTCATGCTCTTCCTTGTTCCTTTTAAACAAGATATATTTATTATTTCTATACAATAGTCAAGAAATATGTGAACTGCATTAGGTTTCATCATGTAGTATGAAAGTTCCACAATGGGATAGGTACACACTTTACTTAAACCTTTTAGAAAAACAGTGCATGGTAATGCCTTATGCTGTATAATATAACCTCTGGACATGCTTCTTCCAATGGGCTTGAGTTTACATGCTTTACTGTGGAATGTTCTTTAACATTTTCTTAATGAGAACTTGATGTCAAGGTATTAAGTCACTGGAGTTTTTTCTAATTTACAGCAAATTTTAAAGTTCTAACACTTTAGAAAGATACATGAAAAATTAACATGTCTCTGATAGAACAATCTTTTTGATTTAAGAACTTAATTTCGCTTGGATTTTTTTCCCCTAGAGCACGTAGTAAATATTTTCAATGTAAACTAGGTTTCTAGTAGGGTCCAAATACTATACTGTCACAATTTTATTTGTATGATACTATACTAGTATTTGTATTTTGTGAAATTTTGCATTTAAATTAAATTAGAGAATATTCACCTGAACAAAAACAACTCAGAATGCTTTTGGACAGCTGCAGTTTGATTATTGTATTATTCTGAAGGTCAGCAAGGAAGGAAGGCTGTAATTAAAGGAAACAATTGGCTAAAATTTACAAACTAAACTACACCAGATTTTGTTATAAATTTTGCAGTAGATAAAAAATTAAAATGTATGAAGTGAAAAGATACATTGGTCTTTTTCAATTTTACAAGGAATAATTTGTTCAAAATATAACCATGGTTTATACTTAAAAGCAGAGGTGTTTTTTTAAGCTAAGATAATTACATCTTCACAACTGTGAAGCAGAAGGATCCAGAATATCTGTTCACTACTGCTAGAGGAGTAATAGTCAATTTTTATCACATTATCTTCTTGAGAGACAGACCCTCTCACACATTGCTTTTTCCTACTTTCAGTCTCTCTCCTTCCAGGATCCTAAACTCCTGCTCTGCATTATTTATCTGTTCAGTGGCTTTGCTGCCTAAATTTAAAAAATGTCTAGACTGGAGACTCACAGCAAATAAACATGTCTTTCATATGCATTGAGAATTGAACAGGAGTTTACCAAATATTTTAAAATTTATTCTCGAAGAAAATGCTTTTCTGGATGAGTTATGGAGTAGGTACCAGTTACCCTATGACATATGGAAATCAGTAGCCGTATTTTTCCAGAGTGTACCTGAGAAGCTTGGCCCCAACAGATTATGTAAATGGCCAGGTCATAAATCTCTTTACTGTGCACCCCCCAAAACTGTTCAATTTGTGTAGATGAGTGCTACAAGACATGAAAGTATTAACTCAGTCAAAACTTAATAGCAGAATATGCAAAAACCATGTCCCACCAGGGATTCAGCTAACCTTTTCATGTGAATGCTTATGTGATTTGGCACTTCTACCATGGTATAGCTGATTTCTCAAAAGATTTTGAAAAAGTTGATTTGACAATTGTTATTTTTATTAAATGAGAAAAGGAAAAAGGAACTTCATTACTGCCTGCCTTCCCTTTATCCTGGAACATGTTCTGCATTAAAATTAATAGAAGCTAGTGCATTCCTGAGAACACTTGATTTTCATGAATCACTGTTTTCCAGTTTAATATTTTTCCCCTTTCAGCAGTACCCAGAACCGTGGACAATGTTTTGTACAATGACTTCTTTGGACGAAACAATATTTGAATAATAAAACTCTGAAGTTAAGCAAGAATTTAAATTATCAATGTACTTGTTATATAACAATTTTCCAGTTTGTACTAATAAAAGTGAAGTCTTGTAAGTAATTTCATCCAAGAAACATTGCATAAAATCCAGCAGCTGGACTCTGTCTAGGGCACAGGGCCAGGGTGTTTTATGCTAACCTTCAGTGCTCACTTGAAATCTGGAGCCTGCTGGGGTAAATGTGCTGCGTCCAAGGGGCTCAGGTTTGTACTCCTGGATTACAATTCCTCACAGTGCTGGGTTGCTGGGAGGGATGAAGACACAGAATATTGACAGGGGAGATGCTGATGCCTCTGAAAATGCTGCAGGCTTCCCTACTTACCTGAAGGCATTGGCTATTGGGTCTCTTCTGTTTCTGTTGAGCTTGTGGGGAAATCATTTGCATCCACCCATATATTACAGGCATTCTGCTCTACATATGAACCTCGAAGTGCATTATGCCCAATAAAATGGAAAAAAGAGAAGGAAGCAGTTTTCATACCTCTGTGAAGGCATTCTGATTGGTCTGTAAGGTAACCTTCACAACTTCAAACGGGTTAACCACAACTGCCTCTGTCAAACCAGATCCCAAGCCAGCAACTGCAAATGCCTAGGAAAGTTTCAAATGAAAATTGAGTACTAAGGAGTAATACTTCCTCTACATCAGATTGTGAAACTGAGGGATACAATGCAAACTGCAAGGCTACAGTAATGCAGCAGTATTCTATTGCTAAACAACTTTAGCCCTTGATAGATGCTGACAGTTCATGAAGACAGTATGACAATAGCCATAAACCATATTCCAAAACAATCAAAACAAAATGTCGTAGCACTCCATGTGCATGTATTCTTTTTTCAGCTGGAAGCGAAAATATGGCACCAAATGATTACGCAAACATGGAAAAAGTGGCAAAAGAATGTCCTCATGTTATCTTTGGGTGGACTCGGAATAATAACACAAATGTAAGTGTAGTTATGCAGCTCTGGAAAAAATAAAATCTCTGAACTCAGCACGAAGCACATAACACTAACATATTAACTTAAAAATACATGTAAGCAACTAAAATAGTTCAGTACTTAAGCAAATTGCACAAGCAGAATGTTCACTTAGTAGTTAAAAATGCTAGAAAGGTTTATATGGGAATGAGTGGCACACAGGGAAATGTCAGCATTCATTGCAAGGATGAGTTAACTCCATTTACGTAGAAGGCTGGTGGCATTTCAGTCATAGATATGGAGATATTCACTGCTTTGCTTTCCATCACAGCACAGCATTTTAAAATAACTTGATGTTTTTAAAACAAAAAATAGTGTTAAAATATTTAGGTCAATTGAGAAAGTTCTGAGGGGTTAAGTTTAATGATCGCTTTACACATTTATTGCCTTCACTTAACATCCCCAAAATCTCCAGGTACTGAAAAAAGTCCCAGGACCAATACACATTCTAATGAATCCATTATTTGAAATTCAAAGAAACCCATAGTAAGGAAAAAAACAATAGTGAGAAAAAACTTACTTAAAGCAGAGGGATTTGAGCAGGGAGTCCTGAGAGCTCAAGAAAAAGAGGAATGAAAAGTTAGAAGGGTAATGGCAACACCCAGTCTTACTGCCTTTGGAGAAGATTGTGTTACTAAAAAATTGAATTTTCCAGTAAGATGGGAACATTTCATCATCAACCATGAGACTGAAGCCAGTAGAAAGATGGTGCTAATGTATGTATCTGTCTTTTAATAAGAAATATTTCCCTGATATGAGGTCTGTTGAGGTACCTAGAAACATTCTGCTGGGTTTAGACCAGAATCCCCCTCAGTCTGCTTTTCCCCTCACTACCTTAGGACCAAAAATGCTTCTATAGTAACAGTACTGGACAACAAATGTGAGGGGTTTCTGATTGTTCTAAGATTTGCTCTATCTGTTCTATGAATCACAGCAACTTTTGGGCAGCTATTGCATGCTAACAAATTTTCAGCCTATTTTTCTTCCCCCCAGAAGAGTGCTGGGGTACCATAGAACCTTCAACTCTGTTCTTTCCACTTGCTAGAGAACAAGTATCAGTCTCTCTCTATACACTTAAGGATGAGAACTGCTGAAAAATACCAGATAAAATAGAAGAGACTGCAAACAGGAATAATTAAGAGGAAGAGGCAACTTGCTTTAACCTAGTTAATAGAATTCCATGACCATTAACTCACTGCAGTTAAAGGGAGATGTAACTGGAAGCAATACTCTTTTAAAGAGACTTGAAACTACCAAAACCTTTATAGCACAGCCTTAAAAAGATCAATTGTTTCCTAAAGTTGTGATGTCATCATAGTGAAAAATATATATTTCCTATGGTTTACATTCTTACATCACAGGAAGCAGTAGCTCTTATAAAAAGTATTTTACTCCTAATGTACAATAGCAGAATTAAGATCTACACATGAGAATGCAGATTACACATGCAAGCTCCATCTAAGCATTAAAACATTTCTGTGTATATGTATGCCCTGCATATTGTTTTTAAACCAGTTATTTCTTGAGAGGAATTCCTAACTCCACTGATGGACAAGAGAGTTTTGCCATTTGCTTCAAAGGAAGTAGCAATTTCTTATCAATAACTTATGTTTCTTTTATAAAGTTTTCAAAACAAGAGTGAGATCTGTATTTTTGTTATAGTTGTACTGTGCCTTGGAGAATAGCACTGTGAGGTTGAAGTGTTACACTAGACACGAATAAATAAATATTGATAATGTTCAACTTTTTTTGTAATTTTGTAAGAATGAAGAATGACAAGCTGTAGACAGACTCTTCCATGGTGGCTCTTGTTATCCATGTTCATGAATTTTTTGATGTTGTAGGGAATTATTTTGAGGACATTTGATATAAAACATAATTTATCAATTCTGATATATTCTTATCAATATTTTCTTACCAAGGGACAGGTTTGTTTTGAAAAACTCTGAATTGAGTGGGACCCTTTAAATTTGGGCTTCTTCTATGGGAGGAAGCAGATGAGACAGACTGCTCAGCACACACATTCTACATCAGAACACGAAATTCTGTATCCATACATACCAGTCCTGGTGGCAATGACGCATATCCCAGAAGCTTCTTGTATTGTTCAAAGGTAAAAAACTGTGAATAGAAGTTAGATTGAAATTGAGCTGAAAGAAACTATTAGTTACTTATACAAATTAGTAAAAAGCAGACTACAATGGAGTTTCACTACCTCACATCCTGAGCAGCTGCACGCAGTTCTGCAAAATAAAAGTAAGCCACTTTTATTTCACACTCTCTGTAGCAGTATTAGATGTGCAAGAGTAGACAATCAGGCTTCAGGACTGATTTTATTAGTGTGTCATGCATAGTAGCAGCACAAGTGCAATTCAAGTAATGTTTTATCCAAGAGCTCACTTACATCATATAGGACCTATTTTAAATTTATAAACTTTTCCTCTGGCATTAACTTTCATATACTAGTTTAAATGTAGTAGTAGATTACAGTTTTCCCAAGAAATCACCCCAACATCCTTAATGTAATGTGATGCAATCACTTTTGCATTTCTCAAACACTAGTCTGCTTCTCATCAGAGAGATATAATTGTGGATTTTGAAGATGGAAAGTCTGCCATTTTTATAATCTTCTACTGTCAACAGGTACATTTCTTTTCCTGTTCTCTCTGTCCAAATAAATATTTCATTCAATTGTCTGCTTTCAAACAGTGGTACTTCAAAGTTCTGAGCATCTGCAATCCCTTAGAGGATGTCTTGAAAGCTGTACTCATGGGTGTTTGAATCTCAAGAAAAAAGTAAAATCGGCTTCACCTGCTGCAACATGGTGAAAGGCAATGGCTCACTTTGCAACCTACCATTTCTTGACACCCAAACACATTAGTTTTAAGAATACCTTCTGTGAATTCTTATAAAAATCAAAGCATAATAAATGAATGGATTTGCTCTTCCAAGAAGAAAGTTTAGAACAATTCTGACCGCACTGAAGTTAGGAGGAAGCTTCCTGTTGGCACAGGCAAACAGACTTTCACTGCCTAGCTCCTTGTCTGTGGACACCAAGTCTGAGATGCATGGGTCAAGATATACTCTAGAGAAAGAGTATATGTGACATTTTACACGTTATTGGGAAGATGCCCTCTGAAATACAGCACACAATCTAGGCCACTATTTAAAAAACAACTCAGACTACATCATATTCAAAACAGGGCTACCAGGACCATTAAGGAGAACTTAGAGATTATTTTAAGAATGAAGACTGAAGGAGAGTGACTGCTTTTCTTGTTTAGTTTAGCAAAAGAGATGCTGCAAGAGAATGACAAACAAGGAAGATATGTAGCATAAAGAAACTAGGTGTAAAAGCAAAATATACTCATAAGTAGAATGTGGCTGAAGATCAGATGAAGCTTTCCTGCAACAAAAAGAATCCTGAAACAGTTTTCCAATATGAACAATGGGGAAAAAAATCTTTATGTCTTGAAGGGGAGAGTTTGATAATTTATGAAGGAGATTACAGAACAAACCCCATAGAGTCTTAAATTCATATTCTGCAAACATGTTACTGAAGCCACTAGAAAAGCAGTCCAGTTGCTATGACTTAAGACAGATCTGAGGGCAGTGAAAATGGTCTAGCAGGAAGATGGCAGAAATTGTGGACTTTTAAAAAGAGTAGGTATCTGAATTCTTGGTAACACCAAAAATATTGGAGGTGTTATTCCACATAGTTTTCACACATGGAACAACACAAGCTAACCACAGCTCACTATTTGTGAGTCCTGTAATCTGTCTAAGTAATATTCACGTCTTTGCATGCAAAATAAAGTGGCTTTTACACAGCATGTCTGGTATGATGGGAATGAAGAACAAAAACCTGCCACAGTTCCACCAAGACTGCATCAGTGCAGGTTCATAGCTCCTAGTACAAGAGCTGTCACCTCCGGTAGCAAAAGTAAATAGCCAGAACTTTTAACTTTCCTGTCTGCTTTCCAATATTGACCTGGGACAATTTGATTAGTTCAGAGCAAGCTGGTTCAAATGAAGGTGGGATCCTTGGAAAGTCAGTGAATTCTGCGACCACAGAGGGGGCTACAGTCCCTCTACACAGCATCTGCTGATGCATGAGACAACCAAACTTTTTCACCACGAGAGGAAGGCAATGAGCAATGAGGCCAATGGAAATGTGGGAATCATAAGAAACATAAGGGGATAGAATTTTCAAGACAAGAGAGGAAGACTGTATGGCCTGTGCTGAGTCTCAGCCAAAGAAGACAAGCTCTGTCCCTCATGGTTCAGTACTACAGACCTATCAGAACAAACCAGCTATTCCATAAACCACGTGTACAGGAACATAAGTAATAAGCACCACATTTTCATTTGAACTTGTTTAGAACCTTGTCCTATGGCAAAGTCAATAAAATTTTTCAATCAAGACCTGCTTCAAATGAAAAGTCACTGGCATCATACCAAAACCAATGGAGAATTGGGTGTTAATGTGTTAATAATGACACTATCTTAAAGCAAGATGGAATATGTATGCATAAGCAAAATTGGGTTGTTAAATTCTGGAAAATGATGGCTGATACTCTGGTCATTGGACAGATATTTTTTTATATCCTCAGTTGGGATTATTATATCATTTTGCAGAAAAGATCCTAGAACTGGGACCCAGATTTTGACTACCCTCCAAAGAGTGTAAAGATTGAACATTAATCTTGCAAGCATCTTGCAAATATGTTTAAAATTTTTGCATTGGCCTTGACAATAACCAAAAAAGATAGAAGTGTTACTTAAACTCTAGCTCTATCTTTTTGAAGGTATGATAGAGGTCTGACAAAGTGGGAGGGTAAGCTGCTTCCCTGAACTAAATTAATTTCTTATTGTGATAAAATTTGCTTTATTCTCTCTCCAGCATCTTTCTAGTCATTGTTACCCTCTTAACCTTTAATGGAATTTCTGGTATTCCTTAATGTTTTCCATAGTGTTACAGATCTGTAAAATAGTTGTAATAAAGGCAGAATTACATTACCCAGCAATTTTTTTGGTCTTTAAAATGTTACCTTAAAAATCAATAGCTTCCTAGAGTCATAAATAAAATAACTACTTAATAGTAACTATGCTTTAAATAATTTTTAAAAGAAAAAAATCACTAGCAATAAAATTCCATATAAATGTTGCTGGGTGTACTAGAGTGGCTAGTATACATACAATTTTTCAAAAAAGAAAAATTTCATACTGTATCATATGACTTTATATATTTCCACCCAAAAATTTTTTAAAAACACAGCATAATTTGTCTTTTCCTCTACAGTTGTATTAAGTTAATAGCTTTGTGCAAAAAAATTTCTCAGAATAAACGTATTTAAAACATGCTTTTGTGTATATAGTAACCAATATTGTCCATCTGGCAAAGATACACTTTAATTGAAGTTACACAGAAAATAGCCAAAGTACTTACCAGATGTCTCAATAATGCTAAGATAAAAATATATGCTTGAAACAAGATGTCTGGGAACACATGAGCAATATAAATTTGCCCCAAAAGTTCATCTGTTAACCATTGTATTGGCATCATCATTTCTTTCCTCCAAGTTCAATCTAACAGAAAGTTATAAACTTTGACTTTTCATCTTCCAGAAATACCAGCTTTCTTTTTAGAAGGGAAATAAAAAGAGAGAAAAAAAGAAATAGCAAGACAGACATGAGAACATAGTTGACTAAAAATGAAGCTGTATCTTCAACACTTAACTGAAAAACTGGGGCTAAATAACTTCATTTTAATAGCTTTATTTTTACTTGCAAAAATGCACACAAGATAAATACAATATTCCAGTAGCACAAGTACATTTTTTTTTTAGTACAAAATCTCCCTTGTCTATTCTCTACACACTTTTATGACATTACAACCAGAAGCTTTCAAAAAACTTAATTACAAATATAAAAAGAAGCTACTGGAACCTAGACAATGCCCCTCTTCCTTTTGTGCTTTCTCAAATCTCAGAATCATTGGCCTGAATTTAGTCTTCCTCTAAATCTCACTAGTCATTTAGGCAGTCGAGAAGGGACAGCTTGAGGCTTGTTTAGATGAGGAAAACTACTAGAAGAGTAAAGGTTGGAGGGTGGGCCAAAGGAAGCAATGACTTTTCCTTTGGGGTCATAGCCAAATAAGGTTAGTGGAAATTTGAGATAGGCTGGATTCTCTTCAGGTCAAAGCATGGGTACAAATTCCGCTTTGGATGCTAAAAATTGTACTGGCATATGATGTCTCACATGGAATTGTTTCATTATACAGGTCCTTACAAGGACATTATTGTTCAGCCCTGTTCTCTCACTGAATTCTTCTAATGTAGAATACAGCTGATGTCTCAAAAAAGTTACCCTGATGTCCTTGGAACAGCAGTAAATTTAAAGGAATATTGTAAATGATAAAAGAATTCAACTATTTAATTAAAACCCTCACATGTTTTACATTTAAGCTTGATTCTCATGTTTGCAAAAAACTCAGCTCTCACATAAATGTCCAAGACCCAGGTAGAAAGCATCCCACGAAGAGAGGACAAGTAAGACATTAAAGGAGCCTTGAGCAAGATCTTGATGTGCAAGAATTTGAAAGAACTGAGTCTGTTTAGCCCAGAGACAAGAAAGATAAGGTGATTTAAGTTCTGTCTTCCACCATCCCAATTTTACATGTAAGAGTCAGACTTTCTCAGAGGCTGACAACAGAAGTCTGAGAGTCAACACACAAAGGTTGCAACAGGAGGATTTGGACTGGATGTAAGGCAAAATTCTTCACAGTAAAAGAGTTAAGGACTGGAGAAGGAGCACAGACAGGCTGCAGTCTCCATTCTTTAAGATTTCAGAACTCAACTAGACAAGGCATATGAACATCCTGATGTAACCATGAAGCAGCTCTGCTTTGATCAGAGATCCTTCCCAACTGAAAATCTTTTTATGATTTTATAAGTATATTGAATATCATGGGGTTTAAACCAGTTTAATAAATTTGAGTAAAGTGATTTGAAGTTTATGAATGACTCAAATTAGTAGGAGAAATCAAATGGGTTAGTATTTTAACTAAATACATGCTGGAATCTAAAAAGCACAGTCAGATTTACTTTACATCACAATATGAAGAAAACAAGTTATTAGTAATCTTCTAAATATTATCCATCTATTCTTCACTGCTACTTTGCCATTAAATAGGACTTTAATTTTTCTGGTTTTATTAAATAATTTTGAGATAAGTGACATATGTCACTTGCATCTAAAATGCCAGTGCAAACAAGAAGATGACATTACCAGAACTCCTTTAGGATTCTGTTACAAGGTCACATCCTGTCACTTTATACAAATATTATTCCTCTGTAAAGGAATTGGAATGTGAATGATTAATTGCAGACTAAGGACCAGAATCATATGCAGCCTTTTTAGAAAGAAACAACAACAAGAAAGAAAGGAAAATCAAGACATTCTGTATAATAACTGCTTTTAGACACATTTGGTGCAACTATGGAGACTTCAGAGTTCTGAAATAAAAGACTAAGAAACATTTGGTCTTAACAAAATAGCTGCTTTGATAGATTTAGAACTTTAGAATGATGTTCTTAATAATTAGGTTTTAATTAAAAAGGTTGAATGGTTCAACTGAAAAAAAATTGATGTATTGAAGTATTTTGCTTAGAAATGTTACTAAAATCCTGTTCTACAAATCAAAATAAAGGATAATAAAAGAAAATCAGATGAGCATTTGACAGAAAATACACTGTGATAGGCTAGCATCTATAACTGGAAGACAGCTGGAGTAAAATATTTTGCACAATGAGGAGCTGTATTCATTACAATCTTCAAACTCTTAAAAGGTTAGAGTATTGAGCAGAGTGCTTTTTGGAGCACAAAAAAAACTCCGGGCAGCACTTCAAACCTACTAAATAAGTACTTATTAGTGGCTTCTTTAATGGCTTCTTGTGTTAATTTATTAAGCTGTTAGTTGTTTTGCAAGTTGCTAGGCATTTTCAGTAAAACAAAATATGTAAACCAGAGGCAATTATGAGGCTAAAATATAACTTAAACATTTTATTAATTCTGACAATATAAAATAATTGCAACCTTTTTTTTTTCAGTAACATTTGATACACAGGTCAAAATTAGCTTAACATTTACGAGCCTTATCCTACACTTCTTAATCAAGGACAGTTTTTATTGTGCTATCAATAGGAAACTTTCCTCCTAGTAAAAATCAGAGGATTAATATGCCAAATAAGTTTAAGATTCTAATCTCAGTCAGTGGGGGAGAAATAAAATGTTTTACAGCTGCCACTGTCCCTAGTTATACTTTTAAGGGAGGAAGCATGGGGTTTTTACCTTCACTGCTCTTTTGGGTGTCTCAGCCAAAACGGGAGGAAGTATTCCTTTGTAGAAGCCAAGAAATCTATTGAAGAAAAAAAAAATTATTTTTGTATGGATAAAAAATATATAAATACCATACCATCAATTTTATTTTCACTTTTGAGTAAAGCAATTAAACTTTCAGCATTTCCAGGCATACAGACAAATAACGATACTCTGCTTACTTGCTAAACAGCTAATGTGCTACCAATTATATAAGGTGCTGGTGAGATGATATAAAGAAATCAGCAATAAATACGTAAAATATCAATCAATTTTATTCTGAAATACAAGAAATTGTATTTAAAAGGTGAACATGAAAAGGAGGAACATTTTTGACAACGAAAAAGAAGTATTATGTCATTGTTTTAATTTGCTTAGCACAGCAATGTTTATATTAAAAACTTAAGTTACAAAATCACAAAATACAGATTTGGAAAAAACTGTGACTTCAGCAAATTGCATACAAAACCACTTCTTGCTCATCTTCAGATGGTAGCTGAGGCGTATTTTGAAGTATAATTTTAAACATGACTCAAAATGTATTTTTTCTTTTAGCACATAGTTTTAACCCGAGTTACCTATTCAGAGATCACATGCATTTTATCTTGGAAAAAAACATTTGGGCAGTACCTTGTCACTGTATGTGTGTATATATATCTATGTCTCCATATCTCTGTGTCTATCTATCTACAATCTGCTACATGCCAGCACACAGGGCATCTGCAGGCAGCCTGAGCTCTGTTTACAAGGTCAGTGCGGATACGTAATGCTGAGTCTTGGAAATGCTTTGAATGACAAGCAGTTTTCAAAATGTGGGGTAGAAATAGACAGTAGTCCTTGTCTTCTAGGTCTGCACACTAACCTGGATAGTGCATGGTGAGAGTTCAGAAAGGGATTTAATGGAATCACCAAGAAGAATCATAGAATGTTCACCACCTCCAGGGATGGTGACTCCACCACCTTTCTGGGCAAACTATTCCAATGTCTGACCAACTTCATAGTGAAAAAAAAGTTTTTCAATATCGAATTTGCATTGTTCCTGTTTTAGCTTAAGGTCATAAGTCACCTTGTTAGCCAACAAGAATATATCCTACAATTTGTCCATCTTTAGAATGTATACACATTTATTCAGGACTGTAAGAGGATTCTGTCTACACAAAAAAAAAAAAAAAAAATTACTTAAAGTGAAGCATTTGTGCTTTTAAAAATGTTGAAAGGTGGTGATGTTGGAATGTGGTGATTCACCTTTCTAAAGCATCCTCATAAATGGAATATTTTTGTAAGAGACATGACATCAATAGATTATCCTACAGTTGATCTCTACTACAAATGCTATACCATTTTCCCCATCCTTCTTCAAACACTTCTCTGGAGTTCTCTGCTTGGGCATCTCCAATATAAATATAGTAATTTAGGCCTTTTAAGATGCTCTGGGTTGGACAATCCTTACTCTGAAGAAAGCAATGTATGAACTCCAGTCCACAACAAAAGGACACTGAGCATTTAACATGTGATGGTTTAATGACAAAATACTGAAAGGTAGGAGATTAAGGAATTCAGTTGTCATCAGATGTTTAAATTTCCCCAAAGTCTTACTTTCCAAAGATAAATATACAAATACATATTTATGTATCTATTAACATAGATATGGACATACCTATAGATATGGATATAACAATATAAATATAGTGGATCCATAGAAGCATGCAATCAAAACACAGAATGGTTTGGTTGGAAGGGACCCTAAAAATCATTTAGCTCCAACCTTCCTGCCATAAGCAGGGAATCTTCTACTAGACCAGGTTACTCTGAGCCGCATCCAGGCTGGTCTTGATCTTTATTCTTAGTCCTTATATTTTAGTCTTTAGTGGTTCATACATATTCAGAGCATACTGCTAACTCAGCAAGCAATTGAAATGTCAAAAAACTTCAAGAAGGTGATGCATACATTTTAAGTTCAAACTGAAACTGAGGTCCAAGTAGGATCAGCTACAAAAACACAGATCCCTGTAAACACTTTCTTCCTTTCAGCTCAGCCTAAACCCCTGCAAGCATATCTACAACAGACATCCTGCTTGCAATTTCTACTATTCCACATGATTGGAATTGGAAAATTAATGTCCTCCACTGCTTTACTCACTAGTGTCTCTCTCACTACAAAAAGTGAGACTTGATCCAGATTTTTTCATTAGTAAAAGTTGCCTAAGCAGAGAAATATGCAGTGTAGAGCAACAAATCAGTCTTAAAACTGTGACTTCAGCAAGTCTTAAAACTTGCAGCAGCATTACCCAGCCTTACACAGCACAAAAGGTTCCTTTTCCAGGTTTCCTTTTTGTATATTCAAAATGCATGCAGCTATTGGATATACAAACCTTGTAGCATTTTCACAGCCTCTGAGGATATCAGAGAAAACTTTTCAGAGAGAATGTAGAAAGGATATAGTAGGAATTTGAGCAGTACATTTGTCATCTTAGCAACCTTGTAAGACAGAGAGCAGCTCCTAAACAGCAATCAATTTTATTAAACCACAAGTCAATATCGACACACAGTGATTCAGGTCACCATTAGACCAGGCAGTGGATTATTTTAAAGTTCTAAAGAAATGGGAACTAAAAATATGAAAAGCAATTATCCATTGCTTCTTAATCACAGAAAAGTTGGTGATGAAGGGGGACCTTTCGAGATCATGTGACCCAAGACCATGTGACCTTTGCTGAAGAAGGGCGACCTAGATCCAGTTGTCCAGGACCATGTCCAGACAGCTTCTAAGTATCTCCAAAGAACGACTACTCTTTAAGGAAGGAGATACCACAACTTCTCTGGGCAACCTGTGCCAGTGCGTAGCTACCTTCATAGTAAAAATGCATTTCCTGATCTTCATATGGATCCCTTTGTGCTTCACTTTGTGTCCATTGCCTCTGGTCCTGTCACTGAGCACCACTGAGACCCTTCCTTTAGGTACTCATGCACATTGATCAGATTCCCCTCTGAGCCTTCTCTCCTCCAGGCAGTTCTGTCTCTCTCAGTCTTTTCTTATGTGAAAGGTGCTCCAGTCCTTTAGTCATTTTAGTGGTCCTTCAACTGAACTCTCTGTGTTATGTCCATATCTCTCTGGTACGGGGGAGACCAGAATGACCCAGCACTCCACCTGTGGTCTAACCAGTGCTGAGTAGGGGGGAAGGAAGTAAACACCTTCCTTGACCTGCTGGCAGCTAAAGCAGCCCAGGATATCAGTACTGCCTTTGGTTGCAGGCCACATAGGTAGCTCATGCCCAGCTTGGTGTCCATGAAGACCTACAGGTGCTATGCTGTAAATCTGCGTTCCAGCTGATTTGCCCCGAATATAACAGTGGTGTGTGGGATTATTCTTCCTCGTGCACAGGACTTCACACTTCCCCTTGTTGAAGTTCCTGAGGTTCCTGTCAGACCATTTCTCCAGCATGTCAAAGTCCACCCGACTGGCATTGCAACCCTTTGGGATACCAGCCACTCTCCCGCATTTGTATCACCAGTAAACTTTTTGAGGGTACACCCTGCCCCATCATTCAGAACGTTAATGAAGATGTTGAACAGAGTTGGATCTAGTACTGACCACTGGGGTACACTGTTAGTTACTGGCCTCCAGTTAGACTTTGTCCCACTGACCACCACCCTCTGGGTCTGGCCATTCAGCCAGTTTTCAACCCAACTCAGTAAGTACCTACAGAAGCTTTTGACATCTTGTACCAAGCTCAACTCCAGGTAGGCTTTGACTTCCCTAACCAAGTCTCTGCATGCTCAGGCTGTCTCCATACTCCTCTCTTGTTACCTGTCCCTGCTTCCACCTTCTGTATGCTTTCTTTTTTATGTTTGAGTTTTCCCAGGACCTCCTACACAAGGCTCAACAACACAGGTCTCTTGAGATCCTTGCCTGACTTTCTGCATGCTGGCATGGACTTGAGTGGAGGTGATCCTTGAATATTATGCAGGTTTCCTGGACTCCTCTTCCCTCCAGAGCCCTTTATCATGGGACTTTTCCAAGCAGACCTCTGAATAAGTGACAGTTTGTTCTCCTGAAGTCTAGGGCTGTGAACTTGCTTTTTGCCCTGCTTCCTCTTCTCAGGATCTGAACTCCACCACAACACTTGGTCACAACAACCAAGGCTCACTGTGACCATCACCCCTATGCAGCCTTTTTCATTCGTGTGTTAGAGCTCCAGTGGAACACTTCTCATTGACTCTCACTTGTATCAAGAAGTTATCATTAAAGCTGCTGGATTGCTTATGCCCTGCAATGTTGTGCCTCCAGGAAATATGAAGTCCCCATTAAGGATCAGAGCGTGCTAACATCAGGCTGCTCCTGGCTGTCTGTACAGGACCCCACCTGCTTGTTGTTCCAGGTCAGGCAGCCCATAGTAGATGCCTACCACCAAGTCACCACTATCGGTCTGCTCTTTAATCCTTACCCATAAACTCATTCAACCACAGGCAGAATTCCATGCACTCCAGTTGTCTTCCTGGCCAGCCCTTCCTAATCAGTCTGTGTCCCTCCACAGCAGCACTCGGTGCACTCACTGCATCCCTGGGATCCTGATGAGATCCTACCCCTGTAGCTGCACACAGATCTCCAGTTCCTCCTGTTTATGTCCCACGCTGTGTGCCCTGGTGTGCAGGCTCTTCAGAGAAACTTCCTCACTCGCATGCAAATGCTTGAGGTGACCCCAGCTGAGCCCTGTTTATTCACATTGTGCTCCTCATGGTTCACAGCAGCCCAGGTGCTTTGCTTGGCAGCCTCTCCATCACCCCCTCAGAGCTCTGGTAACTCCCCCCTCCCTCAGGGCTCCTGGTTTGAAGTCCTTTTTTAAAGGACTTTACCAGGAGCAGCCACACTGCAGCAGAGATTTTAGATATGTGCAAAGATACCACTCTGCACCTGATGTCAGGCTGATCTGCTTATTGTAAGGCTGACACAAGGCTTTCTGCTGGGGGAACCTCTACTGTGAACCAGGAGAACCTGCAGAGCTGAGTAACTATATTCATGGCTCTATGAATCCCTAAAAT